ATATGGCTTACAATTGTCCTGAATTCTCTGTGACAATCCCACAACTGATCAAATTACCCCACAGTGTAGGAACACTTTTCTTAGGACTCCCATACCACAAGATTGTTCCTGTGGCTCCTTTGATAAGTGCCCTGTTCCTAAATTACATAGAAAAGCAACAGGCAGAGAACCAATAAGAACAAGAAAAAAAGGAAGGAGAAACAGAAAGTATAGAGAATGGAGATATGGGCCAAAGAAAGAGGGAGAGAAGAAAAACAACAAAGATGGGGAAAGGAGAGAAAGACAGCTGTTAATTGTCTTAAATAAATGTACATTATTTAATAGCTTACAAGACTTTCAATCTGTGTTTAGATGCAGCCTGACAATACATGTGTCATATGTGATAAGGGATGTAAGGAAGTGTTATTGTAGGAGGACATCCTTAACAGAAAAGGTATGAAATATATTTGGATACAGTAACAAAGAAATCAAGATCTGGGAACCAGACTGGAGAAAGCTGGAGTACAAGTCATAGTGCTGTATCTGAATGAGAAATTTTTGAATACAAATTTCTGCCGAATCATTATTGAAATTTTGCCCCCCTTACAATCATCTTAGGATATATCACCTGCTTGATGTATCATTAAAAAAAAACATTTTCATAATTCAGCTAGCATTCAGATTGTTTCGTATACTTGATATCTCCTTCTTTAGTTCAATATTTCCAATTTATAATTGGACTTTACTTCTAGAGGAGGTAAAGGTGAAATACATTTATGCTATAAGCAACAGTGTATTGTGTGGAATTAATCTGTAATCTCAGTTGGGACACACAACAATGCATCATGAAAATATGTTTAAATCAGCATGTACAGTCTGTAATAAAGTCTCAGAAATGTGTTGTTCCATGCTAAGTGTAAATGGTGCATGTTTGTGCATACATCTCCTACAACTTAGAGAGCACGGAACATTACATCAAAATTCAAAATTAAGTAATTCAAATACATTTTCAATAAAAACTCAATTCATAAAAATGTCTTTTTACTTGACACTGGGATGAATGACTATTTTGCATAAACAATCCTGGAGAAGACAAAGGTCTATAAAGTATCCAGAATACAGAAAGCTATAACATGATAATTCTGGAACTAAATATTCACAAATTAGCTTTTACATTTGACTATAAAATGACTTTGTAGCCTTGCAAGGGGCTGAGTGCATTTAACACCTTTGCCTTGGATGCTAATAAAATTTTGAACTCTGGACAAAGACTTTGGTGTTTATGACCTGAGCAAAAACCAAACAATAGTGAAGAAATTTTCCAACAGCAATCATATCAAATTGAATAAATTCAATTTAATTAAATGTTTACCCATGGTTTACTTTAACCATTGTTTCTTGAGCAAGCATACATGAGTTAGTCTCTGTTTGCATATACCAGGCTTGCTTTCTTTACCTTGCCTTGTCTGCCTTGACCAACAATTATTGTGAAATGATGTTTATCAGGTAACAAAGAATCAAAAGAAACTGAAGAATAAATTGCTGAACTTGAATGCATTGGTAGCACCAGGTCACCATTATTTTAGGCTGGAATGCAGATTTGGAGTTATGAGAGCATGAAATGAACACTCTTGGTAACTGTTTGCCACAGTGAGAATAGCCAATCACTAAACATTTATCAGAAGGAAAACACGTCTATTGTCTGATTGCCTTTAGCCATATTATGCAAATGCCATAAAAAGTATGCAACAGTACACAAAAAAAAAATTAAAAACATGAAATAAGAAAAGAAAACATCACTAAATTTATTTTAAAAATAATCATGATTCTCTATAACTTTTCACGCTTACAAAATATCCTTGCTTCTACCATGTTTAGTAGAAGAAAGCCAGTTGTTGTAGTGGCTGTGTTGGTGGACAGAAATCAGGCAACTGTGAGTTTTAGGTTTCCCTTAAGCCCAAAAGCCAATGTCTTTTTCAGCCCAACCCACTTAACAAGATTGTTGTTGTGGGGAAAATGGGAGATGGGAGTATGGTGCCTTGAGTTGACTAAAGTGGGATAAAGATCTAGTAATAAATAAATGTCCATGTGTTGTTTATACTTCATACTTTTTCCTTTTGTTCTTTAAAACACTCACCTATCTTTTGTTGAGGATTTCTTCAACTCCACCCCACTATGATTTTCTCTCTTCCTTTTCCTCCCAATTCATTTACTCTTCCTCCATATTTCTTTTATAATTTGATCTCTATTTATTCTCCCTCACAAACCACAAGCCAATATACTTATTTTGACCAGTCACTCACTTTTGTATTCAAGCCACTATCATTCTACTCCCATTCTTCACTGTTTCACCATATCACTCCTTACTTAGAACATGGAATCATAGGGCTGGAAGAGACCTCAAAGATCCAACCCCCTGCTCAAGGAAGGAGACCTTATACCACTTTGATCAAATGGTCCTCCAGTCTTTTTTTTGAAAACCTCCAGTAATGGAGCACCTACAACTCTGAGTAGCAAGCTATTCCATATATTAATTGTTCTGTCAAATGTTTCTCTTTCTAGGTTGGATCTCTCTTTGACAAGCTTCCACGGATTACTTCTTGCCTTGTCCTCTGGTGTTTTGGAGAATAAGTCAATCCCCTCTTAAACTATCCTAGTGTTTTTATGTTTCTCCTAAGAGATGCAATTTTCACTAAATTTCCATTTAACAAAGTAGGCACTTTCCCATGCATAACCATTTTCAGTTTTTTCAACAAACACCCCTTCTTTGTAACAGATCACATCCTATCTTTCTGGCAGCATTTGCAGATCTTAAATTTTCTCCATTCATTTCCCCATGTTTAAGAAATTATCTACCAAAGTATGTAAATTCACATACTTGCTCTGTTTTTTTCACCATTTATGCATGACTTGCAATTGTTCATTGCATTTTCATTGTCAAGCACAACTACCTTGATTTTTGATGCAACAGTTTTCTGATCTGTACTCCTCATTGCTTAATACAATCTGACATTCACTGAAAATAAATCAGGATCTCAACCAATAAATGGCATTGTCTGCATAGCAAAGGACGTGCATTTTAATAATTCCAAACAATATATGTGTAACATTATCACAAGTATTCCTTGTACATTTATCTATTAATATATTAAATAAGTAAGGAGACACATAGAGGTAATTCTCATTTAGCAACCACATTTTGGACTGGCAACTTAGTAAGTAAAGTGATTGCTCAATGAAACTGCTCTGCTTACAATCTTACTTCAGCTTTCATTTGCTTTAAAGATCTATGAAGGTTGCAAATGCAAGAATTGGTTGTAAAGTTATTATTTTAATATTATAACTGCAAGCAGTCTCTAAACCAGGTAGTTGCTAAACAAGTACTGCCTTTATATCTTTGTCCTAGCTCTTACTCAATGTTCAATCATCTGTGAAACAATTAGTCTCACAGTGGCTTCACTTCAATCATGTATTTATTTCATTCAGCAACAATAAACTCCACATACATGTAAAATGCTCCATAGTCCAATATTTCCTTTATCATGTATATGCTCTAAAGCAAAAAATAAACATAAAATAAACTTTTCCCACACATTAATCACACATTATACATTTCCTGTGATTAATTGAAAAAAAAAACTGATCTTTCTATTATGCCTGGCTAATGCACGGCTGTACTTCCCAAAGTTTACTCATTATTGCCTTTTCTATCATTTCAATTAGAACATACAAAATACACTCACAGGAACATTTAATCTAATAATTTGAGCTAAATTTGTGTGGTATCCTTCATTATTGTTTTGTTTTGTTTTGCAGGTGATCAGGCATAGATGCAGTCTTCACATACAGTTGAAAGGACAGCCATTTCATAATCAAATTACATCTCTCTAATTTCATTGTCAACTCTTGTAGCCTTACCCCCTTTTCCCTAAATTCTCAGAGCATACAGATTTCCTTCTCACTGATTTTTTTATGAAATGTTAACATTTATAATATTCATTTCAAACATTGTTTGAAACAATCTTTGTTACCCTTGAAACATATATTTTAAGAATAATGAAGATTTGCTTTTTGAGGAGGAGTGATTGGTTTAAATTCAGGGACATGTCTGTGGCCAATTTTTTACCTCTGCCTTCCCTGTATCTGTCTTACTAAAACAAGGAGAATTCCAGGTGGAGCAGAAAGTACAAGCAAACAGGTTGCTACAGAGGCAATGCTAGAATTTTGAGGCCCTTGAATTGTTAAAAGAGTAAATCAGAATAAATTCTGACAATCCTACAAAGTGTTAACTGTAACCCTTATGCTGAGGAAAAGATCAACAATATAGCATTAAAGGTTAAAAATAAGAATAAACTTAACATTAGAAATGCCAACCATATACAGAGGAATTTTTTAAAATTAACATTTGTCATATTAGTACTCCTAAGGTTGTCAGCAGAAACTATTTTCTTTCACTTAAATATTAATAATATTGCCTAACAATATTGAAATAAAGTAAGACTATAGATTTAAAATTAGGTAAATTACTCTAAAAGACAACTGACTACTGTATTGATTTCAAGCAAACAGATCAGCAACCTATTTCAGGGTCAATTAATTATAAAATGTATGCATAAGATATTTTGAAAACTGGAGGCTGCAATTTAGCGCTCTGAACATATTATCCTGAAATACTTGGGAAAAGGAAATGAACTATGATTCAGAGTATTGTGGAAGCATTAGTACAGATTTTCTGAAGACTATTCAGTGGTATATTGGTTAAGGTACCAAGACAGAAACTGAAAGACTGTGAATTCTAGATCTGCCTCAGGCATGCTGGATGACTTTGGGTCACTCACACTCACACTCAGTTCTAGGAAGCAGGCAATTGCAAACAACTTGTGAAATCTTGCCAAGAAGATTATGGGGACTAGTCCAGGCATTTGCTCAACACTGACTCAAATGTATTTCTTGAAGTGTGTCTTTTTCCCAAACGCACTTCTTGACTCGTTGCACCCAAGAAAGCATTCCCCATAACATACCTTTCTTCTACTGAAACTTCCTTTAATTGTTGGTGTGGCTTTGTGCCTTCCATCTCTCGGATGCTCACTGCATAGATCTTTGTAGTGTAATCAATTGCTTTTTCTCGTGCAACATCACTGTCATAACCTTGGATACATGTGAAATAGATCATAATGCTTATTTAAGAACTTCCCATTTTTCAGTGTGGAAATTATATGTGAATCACTTAAATATAGACTATGGTGTCCAGAGCCAGTGTTTTTACAGTTTTAAAATATTACATTTGCAGGAAAAAAATATATTTCCTAAACAATTTGCTTTATAGATTTATTTTGTGTATATTATCTATATAAAAGTTAGTTCTGCATATATATCTTTTCCCCTTAATTTGCAATTAATTTTTTTCCATTATCTTATTTGCTTTTAAGATTCTTTTACTTTACATTTCCAGCATTAAGTAATATGTAAATGTTTTTAAAGAAAACAGAAAATTCATTACTTATGTGAGGCAATTGAAAAAATATTTAAATGTTTTGAAATAACCTGGGATATCCCCAAATATGGAGAAATTTGGTGGAAAATGATATGCTCTTTATAATAAGATCTTCTTCTATATTTCCCTTTGCCAACTCTGTTGTGCTGAGATAGGCGATATTTCGTCTGCTGATATCACTAGAACCTCAGTTATGTTTTTTTGTACTTGCCAGCTCTCTTGATCTCACTCATTTAAAAACATGTATTTCATAAAAAAAAATCAATATGAAGCTGGCATATTTGAAAACATTGGCCTGTAACATAATACCTTCGAGCTGCACAAAGCTTTCCTTAAAATAGTAGAAAAGCATGCTAATCTACTTACAAGTAAAATTATGTTTTTAGACTGCCATGCACATGATGTTTGTAGCAGCCATTTGTAAATAGGGGTATATCTACTACTAATCAATTACTATTAAATGTTTGCAGATGAGTATAATGTTGTTATATTCCTCATACTGTATATGAGAAAGCATAACAGGATTCTTTCATATATTGTATTAACGTAATTTTGCCTAAGGTACAAAAATGCCCTAGTTATTCAGCAGGCCTCCTATATAGAATGATTTTTATAGACAAAAGCAAAGATCTTTACCTCCATCTTCTTCTGCATCAGTATCTGATTCCTCACTGTCAACTAGCTTGCTTTCCTGGGTTCCAACAAATTCTCGAGTCCAGATCATCAGGGCAGTGTCAGCACCACCCACTGTCAACAGCACAGAATCATTATGTAACCACTGGACATTGGTGACATGGGAACTATGACCCACATACTTCTTAAACTTGGCATGCTGACCCTGTAACACAGGCAAATCATATAGCTTTTTCCTGATATGGACCAGGCATTCTGTTTTTAAGAAATTTCAGAGGCTGCCAAAATCCAAGTAGGTATGAAGCTGAAATCCTTCAAGAGGAGTCTTCTCAACAGGCAGCAGCAGCTTGCAGCTGACCCTGATGGCTTCCTTATTAACTTTCTTTCTGAGAAAGGTGGCAGAGAATATTGCAAATGTGATCACATGATCATGATGCACTTGTGTGAGCAGGTTGCCAAGCCTCCAGATTGTAACCACATGTCCACAGGATGGTGGTGGTGTGAAATTTTGTGACTGTCAAACATGCTTTAAAGGCAATTAAGCACCCTTTCTAAAGCTGTCAGTAATTTGAATCATCGTTAAACAAATGGTTGTAAACTGATTAATATATATAATGTTATAGGAATTCCTGCAAAAATCCAAATCAATTATTTGCCTTCTTTTTAGTCTCAGCCACCCACATCAGTTGAAGTTGGGCAGCATCAAACCAAATAAATAAATATATCCCAGACAGATTGTTTTAATACTCAAGGAAATCCTTTCACACATTTTTGACTACTAAATGAAGAAACAAACCCTTCACCCAGGTTCTCAATTCTTACTGAAAACATATTACCAGAATGTTTCTGGCCATTAAATTGCCTTTTCTTAAATTTTGTCCTGGTGTACATGTGCACTGGTAGCTCTCCCTTACAGATACTTTAGATAAAAGCCATCAAGCTTAATTGATCAATCCCCAAATGTATAAAATTCCTATTTTCTATTTTTCCTTGCTATACATAATTCTTCCTTTGGCATTATTGAAAAATATTTCAATTACCTTTACTGGGTATCTGAAGAGTTTTACGAACCCAAAGTCATCCCCTGTAGCTAAGAGAGTGCTATCTTTAGTAAGGGAAGCTGCATTGATAACAGTGACGTCACTATGCATTGGCCAAATTCCTTCACAAGTAGGACCAAGAACACATGTCCAGGTATCCCATTCAATCTTTTCAATCTGGAAGTAAACATTTTTAAAAATCCAATATTATAAACTGTAAGCACATTTTTATGGAACTATTTTTTTCAATGTCTTGTCAACTGCATAAGCAACTGATCTCCAGTTAATGGAGAATGGTCCAATATGATTTTTTAGATTCCCTGCTTCATAATATGATTGCCCACATATTTTGATAGTACATCAAATGCATTTCTCCGTGTACTAAGGAACTATTTATATATTTTTTTCACAAGTTAGACAAGAGGAAAAATGGGTAGCAAAAGGGTGCCTACAAATATCCCTTCGTACTTGCCTGGTTCTCTTTATTACCCAAGTTAAAAAATAATAATTAGTATAGTAAAACCAAGTGTTGAACTTCAGTATGATTTTTTAAATTTCTTTCTGTAATAATGCCTTTGGATTTCACATGCATTTTACAAAATAGAAATGATGAATGTTACCCAATATTTAATCCGGAAGAGTGTCTAGATTGCGGGGGTGGGGGATAGTCTTACCAGTTCTCTTTGTAGTAATAAGTGTTTTGTGATTGATCCCACTCAACATGTCATTTTTGTGAATTGACTCTTATCTATGATAGCTATTTAGTGAGAATTCCTATAGCATGCTTTCAATATTCAAATGCACTTACCATTCCAAAATGCTACCTGTGCCTTGAATGATAATTACAGATTATCATAAAAAAAAAAACAATACACCAAATACAAACTAGGCAGATATGACCTCGTTGATGACCCTCACTCTGTCAAGGACCTAGGAGTACTCATATCTAATGATCTAAGCGCCAGAGCTCACTGTAACAGCATTGCCAAAAAGGCATTAAGAGTTGTAAATCTAATCTTACAAAGCTTCTCCTCTGGAAATATTGAATTGCTAACTAGGGCATACACAACTTTTGCTAGACCAATACTCGAATACAGCTCATCTGTCTGGAATCCGCACTGTATATCAGACATTAATACAATTGAGCGAGTCCCGAAGTATTTCACGAGAAGAGTACTACACTCCTCTGCTCGCAACAGAATACCCTATATCACCGGACTTGAAATTTTGGGCTTGGACAATCTTGAACTACGCTGCCTACAGTTGGACTTAAGCGTAGTACACAAAATTATCTGCTACAATGTCCTACCAGTCAATAACTACTTCAGCTTCAACCACAATAGAAGAGCACACAACAGATACAAACCCAATGTTAACCTCTCCAAACTTGATTGCAGACAGTATGACTTCAGCAAAACTGTCAATGCCTTGAATGCACTACCTGACTCTATAGTTACATCCTCAAACCCCCACTCCTTTAACCTCAAACTATCCACTATTGACCTCACCCATTCCTAAGAGGTCTATAAGGGGTGTGCATAAGTACACCATCGTGCCTCCCGTCCCTGTCCTAATTTCCCCATTTAATCGTACCTATTTTCTGTATATTTTTACTCATGTTTATACTAATATCTATTATCTTGTGATTGACAAATCAGATAAATAAATAAATAAAATTATTGCAATTATGCTTAGCAGGAAGAAAGTCATGTTGATATAAAATGAATGTGTTATGGTTAAAAAAGGAATAGTTCTTTAGCCCATCTCTACAAAATCTATACAGTATTTATGTACATATGAAACAGAGCTTTTAGAACATATATCACGCAGAAAACCCACTGCACATTAGACCACTCTCTTTCTAACAGATAGTAGTGAAATAACATATAAAGAAATTTATTTCATTTTTCCTTACCTCCGTGGATCTTATTATGTGTCTCTTTCCTCTTGGAGCTTCAAAGAAGATTTGTTCTCTGGCACCAGAATTGACTTGTAGTAGCTTCCCTTGAACGTGAAGGAGTTTACAGAAATTAGACTTAACAGATTTTCTGACACAGAAGGTGAACTTTTACTTACTTCCATCTACAAGCTATCTACTGAAGGCTTATAAAGGCTGTCAGCAAGAGAGGAAAATGGTAACACCAAATGTAATATTTTTACAACAATGGACAATGCTTATTGCTTCATTCTACTTTTTAAAATAAAAACTGGAGGCAGAGGGAGTACTGCAAATTTATAGCAGAAGTTATATGCTTATAATGCCTGCCTACCTACTTATTTATTTATTATTTAATTTCTATAGACGTCCATCTCAGCAAATGACTGTGATAACTGCTGTCCTGTTGAGACCTAAAGAATCTGCACTCCATATTTTCAGAGCAGTTTTGCATTTTCAAGATTTTCCTTATTAATAGGGATAAAATAATTGTTCATGTACCATACAGTTGGAAAATCAATTAAAAAAAGAAATTATAAGCCTGATAAACACAGGGTATTAAAAAGTTGACTAATACAGTATTAACTGGCAAAGCCAAGCCTATTTCATAGTTTTGGGAAATAATGAATACACTCTTATATTATTTTAATAAATGCTCAACCATTTTTTTACTAATTATAGTCTGTTGTTTAGAATAGACAATCCATAGAACTCTATCCTGATTACTATAAACTGAAATATAGATGAACATTTTTACAGTTTTAGACTTTAAAACTGTCATAGAACTACTCTTTTCTGTTTCCCATCACAAATCAAGGAAAATTCACAATCTTCTACCATATTTTGAAGCCTTATAAGAGCTCTTCAAAGAGACCTGTGATAAATAAAAGGTTTTGTTTTGTTGTGTTTTACCTCTTGAATCCCAGTCTATGTGTGTGACATAGCTAGATGCTCCTTTGCAGATTCCAACTCTTTTGCTGGTAAGTACATTGTAAATATCTACAAAGTTATCATGGGAAGCCACTGCCAGGTATTTTCCTGAATCTGAAAAGTATATTTAAATAAATCCAGACATTTGCATGGAATACATCAAAACATGTCTATGGAATTGAGATCAGTTATTATCGAAAAAGCAGCAAGCAGATGGAGAGGCTCCAATAGATCAGTTTAGTGAAATGGTACAATCAGGGACACCCACATCTCTTGCTCTAGAGACTAAGTTATAAGATTCGTTGCTGCTATTGTGCCTTTCTTATAACATTATATTATATTATAACATTATAACAGCTTATAGTCTACATAGTAAAGAAACCAATGAGAATTTTTTTACTCTTCAAGTTTTATTATATCTCTCAGTTTCGCTCAGGTCTGCCAATATTTATTTACTTATGAAGCTGATATGGGCGTTCATCTCATGTGCCATAACTCTGGGCTGTTCACAGCAGTGCTGATGAGAACTTACAAAGTACCCTGTTTCTCCAACAATATGGCCTCCCCCAATAGGAAGTCCCAGCATGTTTTATAGGCATGAAATGAAATTAAGCCCCTCCCCCCAAATTAAGGCCTATATTAAAACATGCAAAATGGGGGGAATGGTGTGGGGGCTTGCCGTTAGGAAGTACTTTTGTTGCACACCTGGATATGGTGCTGCCTGCATTGACCCTGATACGAAGTGCCCCACCAACGCCGAGATCAACATCCAAGCCATCGCCGCCCGCCTGCCCGAAGATGCAAGGGGGGGGGGAATTAAGTCACCCCCCGAAAAGATGGCCTAGCCATTTTTTCGGGGCTCAAAAAAATAAGACCCGGCCTTATTAGATGAGAAACACGGTAATAAAAACCAACATCCAAAAGAAACTACTTCTACTGCCCCAAAACAACCTTTCCTGATACATAAAAAGAATCACAATCACTGGGCTGCAACCACACCCTATCCCAAAACCTGGGGGAGAGCCAGCTTTCTAAGGCCTTCTGGAAAGTTAAAAGAGTGGGAACCTGTCAGATCTCAGGTGGAGGGTCTTTATGGATAGGGGCTGGTGCAGAAAAAAGGAAGTAATTCTTTTTTTTATATACGGTGATGTTACAATAGAAATTTTGTGATAAAAATCGGTGATGTTGTAGAAAGAACCTCATTTGAAGAATGAGTTATGTTATTGGGGTATAGAAAGTGGGCTTGGTTTATGGTGCTGAATTAGAATTCCCAGCATCCTTCAGCCTTAGCTTTGCTGGGGTGACAAAAGATGATGTTTAACAACATCTGGAGGTCCATAAATTGTCTGAAAATAATTTAAGAAATGGAAGCTGCAGCAGGTCTTGTTCTTTCTTTTTCTCACTTAAGAGCTCATTTTATTTTTTAAAAAGTGTTTTAGGCATATGGGCGATGCAAGGGGAATACTTGATACTTTTTAAATGTTTGGGTCAAGGAGAGCAGTTTTCAGTACATAATGAGTGCAGGATTTTAACATACCTGTTTTGCCACACTACCGTGAAAGTTTGTTACATTATACTGCTACCAAATTTTAGTATGATAATCTATGGATCCTTTGGGACTATAGAATAGGAGTTGATTACCCTTGTGGTAATGGACTAAGAGATGGATGTTTAAGCTTGCTTAGTTTCTCCGTATCATGAAATATGTCTTATCATAGATTGACATAGCTTTTAAAAAGCAAATTTAACCTGACATAAAAACATATATAGTATATGTGGTATATTAATGTTTATAAATATCCCTTGCCTCTTCAACATTTTTATTTTAAAGGATTTAAAAATAATAATAAAAAAGTTCACTTTGACCTCGAGAAAATTTGATGTCAGAGATCATTTCTTTTCTGTGATGGAAAGAAAGCATATCTTCCAAAGTATCAGCATTCACAACCAGAAAGCTTCCATCATTCAATCCAACTGCCAAGGCTTTCCCATCAGGGGAGAAGGCACAGCAGCGTCCACCTAAAAAAGTTCAGAGAAAGTCTGTGGCTAAATCTTAGAGACCAAGGAATGAAATTTTGGGGCAACAAAGAGCTCCTCAATCCCACCCAACACAAATGGTGATGGTGGTGGAGACATAGCCACGTTCCCATGCTAAAGAGAAGGGGGACATTTAAAAAAAATATAATTGTTATTAAGAATTTTAACTACAATGGTAAAAACTAATACAAATTAAATTAGAGAAAGAGAAAAAATAAAACAAGATTTAAAAATGCAGGGGGGGGGGGAGAAAAATGTTAAAAAAATGATTTCCAAAGTTCATTACAAGTATAAAAAAAGTAGTAACTTTTCACCCTCTGTAAAGTTAAACAGATATTTCTTCATCCCATATCCCATTTCTTACTTATAAGCAAACCCATAAAAGATCAACTTTTCAATCCTGGTGTTAATTGGTTCTGGGAGGCGCAATGAGTATAAAAAATGATGTGCACCAAACAAATTTTTCCCATAAGGAATAATGTAGTGAGTCACAAGGCCCCCAACAAGCCAACAGCTTGTGCGTTGAGTACCAAACAAACCATGAGTACTGGAAGAAAATTTTTGTGTCAAAATGTGTTGAGAACCAAATTCGATGAGTTTCAAAGCAGTTGAGTACCAAGGTATCACTGTAGTATCTAGTAGCTATACTGAAGATCAAACAGTGCTCAAAATGTAATATTCTAGTTTTCTGATTATTTCTCTTAATTTGGACTGTCTCCCTTAATTTGGATAAAGACTGACATTTTATAAGGAAAAATAGTAATTGATGATGTAATTCAGACTTCTTAAATCTGTTGGTTTTAAATATTGCAAATATTACAATTGCTATCTTCACAATCATAAGCGATGGTCATTCATGCTGAGAAGGATAGGAATTGTACTTGAATACAGTGTTCAATGAGTAATTAACAATTCAGATGTATGATAGGAACAGCCGCCATTCTCCCATTTTGAAAATGCCCCCCCCCCCCCCCACCCCCTGGGTGTATCATAATTCATATTCTCCAATGAGACACATCCATAGCCAAGAGTCATCAATCATGTTCTCCAATAGAATTGTGCGCAGCAGAAACTTCAGTCACCTAGTTACTATCTTTGAAAACTATTTATGGAATGCACTTTTGATTTCCAAGCTGCCGCACTGCTCTTTCAAACCCCTTTCCCCCCTTCCTTTCTGTTGGCAACTATAAAAAAAAATAGAAATATTTTAAGAGTTGACAAGATGTTTAATAACAATTGGGTTTATTACTGGTTTCAAGTGAAATCCTTCTTATTGTGATTCATACAAATTCCAGACGTTTGCACAAATTGGAACTATTAAGCCACATTTAACTTTCCAGGCATGTACAAGAATACAAATCTACACAATAAAACCAAGAGCTCAGCTAAATTTCTGGTGGACAACTAAACATACAAACAGTTATGTTTGGCTTAACTGATCAAAGATTATGTATACCTGATATAAAAAAAATCCCTCATAAACAAGATACTAAAATACATAAAATTAATTGTTACCTTTTTTTAGTTTTCGCACTGCCAGCATACGATGTTGGGAGGAAAGCTCCCAGATCCTTAGAGTTTTATCATCACTCACTGTTGCACATATAGGCAAGAGGGGATGTGCTGCTAGACCCCAGACTTCTCCTTCCATATGGCCCTGTTTATAAATAGGGAGAATATGCCTTCAAGAAGCAGATACTGTGCAACTGTTTCTAATTCTAAGCTGAGACTGATTTCTAAACAGCATTCTGTTACTCTTAAAAATCCATAAATCTACAATGTGGTATCCACTGCTCCTATATATATTTATATCAGTGTTTGTACATTCTTTAAGGGTATAATAATTCATACAGCTATTTTTTTATATTTAAGCACTGGTTCTGATTTTCCTCTGCATTCTTAACACAGCAATTAATTAGTCCAGACAAGCACACTTATTAAACTAGTTGCAACTTGTAGTGTGTATTCCTTAAGAAGCATAAACCCGATGAACTTCACAACTTACAAGTTTGGAAACCTATTTGTCAGTATATGTAAACAACATCCAATCAAAGAACATCCTGAATAGCTTGTTTATTAAATTAATTAAATCGCAAAAAAGTACATAGGGCTACAGTGAAATAAAATAGGAAATGGATTAAATTAAGAGCAAATGTAGAAATGCTGGTTGTGCTCTTTGACATAGCTTTTGGTACACAAAACAAGCAATTATACCTGCACAAGTAGAGTCATGGGACCAGTTTTATCAATCTCAAGAATTTCTCCATTTTTTGTTCCCACCAGTATATGTCCATGTCCTAAAGTGATGGCACGGATTGATGGATTATCTTCCAGCAGCAACCCTGAAAGAAAGAAAAATAAATAAACCTACTTTCATTTAATTTTCTTAATTTTAATAGAGCTTCTCAATTGCTAGATTTTATCTTGATTTAGATTATCTCTTGTTAAACCAAGGGTGGAATTCAATTTTTTTAACAACCAGTTCTGTGGGTGTGGCTTAGTTGGTGGGCATGGCTTGCTGGTCATGTGACTGGGTGGGCGTGGCCAACTTGACATCACTCACATCAAGGGGTGCTTCTCCTCGCCTGGCCTCTCATGATAGTGGGGATGCTGCAATGGTCACAAGTGTGAAAAATGGTCATAAGTCACTTTTTTCAGTGCCACTGTAACTTTGAATGATGACCAGTTTTAGACCAAAACTCAAAAAGGGTGTGTAAACTCACGTTTGAGTGTCAATCTTTCTAGCTAGCCAAGAAACCTCCTTTGGAGACAGTAAGTCTAGGCACACTGCCAAGAATGTAAGAAGGGTAGAAAAAAACAAAAGGAGATTTCTTCCAACAACTGGTTCTCTGAATTGCTTAGAAAATTAACAACCGGTTCTAGAGAATAGCTGCGAACCTGTAGAATCCCACCCGTGTTAAACATTTTAAAGCGATTCATATGGTAACATAAGACTTGGGCCACATATACATACTATTACTGTGTATTGTATGTATTGAGGAATGTCTTCTGAATGTTCAGAAACTTCAGATAGCACAAAATATGGCAGCTGGCCTATTTATTAGAACTAGGCATTGTGATCATATTATGTTAGCATTACTTCTTACTGATTCTACTTAGCTCTAGGCTTAGTTCTAAGTCTTGTATTAATTTGTAAAACTTTCCATGGTTTGAATCTAAAGTATCTGCAGAAATACTCTTCATACATTTCTACTTCTACATTTCTATTCCAGATAAAAGCACAATATTTTTTTTTACAGAACCACTTCTCTCTGAGAGTACATCCAACAGGATGGATGTGCTCCAGGTTCCTTTCCTTAAATGTTGTCTTCTAGCAAGACCTAAGTAGTGTCCCTTTTCGGTAATGGCCTCTGCTCTTTGAAACACCCTTCCTCCTGAGATCTGGCAGGCCCCTAACTTGCTAAACTTCTGAAAAGCCTTGAAGACCTGACTTTTCCCACAAGCATTGGAATAGCTTGTGGTTGGAGGTCAGAAAAGTTGTTTGTTGGATGCAAGTGATATGTTGCTTGGGGGGATGGGGTGGGGGAGGGACAACCAGGAATTTTTATGCTTGTTTCCATGTTTTTAATGGTTTCTATTAGCTGTATAAATAAAATAAATCAATACGTTTATTGTACTTAGAGTGTAGGTTTTCTTAGTGGTACCTAAGTGAAGTTTGTATCCAGTGAACACAGTAGGCTTCCCCTTATTTATCCCCACAATAATTTATGGATTTAAGTTGATCTGAAAGATATTGCCAGACCCAAAGTACGATGGTCAAATGGGACTGGTGTTTCTGTCAAATGGGACTGGTGTTTCTGTCTCTTTCAGGTGTTCATACAATGTGGAACTACACTACTTTTTTTTCCAGGTACATTAATGTCTAAAATTTTAAGTTTGAGCATAAGTTATCAGTAATATATTAAACCGAAGGCCTTAATATATTATGCAGCAATGAATTTCAATCTGACAGCATGAATTTCTTTGACTGTATTGCTGCAATTTTTCACTGCAAGTTATCCCCATGAAAGTTTACATAAATTGAATATATTGCATACTTACATAAATACTCATTATGCTATTGACTGTCATGATAAGCATCAATATGAAAAGGGTGGAAAAAGGTAAGAAATAGTAAGCCACAATATTAAAGGCATAAGAAAGAAAAGAGAAAAGGAAATATGGCTAAATCTAATTTATACCAATATCATTCACTGTATTTCCTCATATGTTTCTAACATGCAAATCATTCTTGTTTCTACAATGTTCACAACATGGTTTGAAAACTGTTGTTTTTTTTCTTCAACTTTTCAATACTCTTTTTTGGGAGGGTGGGTGGGGAATCTCATTAACTCCATCCAATTCCATGAGTTTTTGGTCCTTCTCTTTCTATTTATTTTTCATATATTTGTTATGTTATAAACAGGACAAATATATTAGTCACCACTATATTATAGAATGTTCATATCCCAAAACAATGAATCTTATATTTCAAAAAAGTGTGCTAATTACTAATCAAATTATTTTTTAAAAAATGGTATGGTCTACTGCCTTAGTCAAAAAATTAACATGTAAACCAAAATCAACTGAAGAAAATGAATGAGAAAATGATTGTGTATGACATGATTTTATATGTTTTCATCCAGTCTCCCTCCTCTCCTTTTGCAACTACAGAGGATCCTGGGGAAAATTGATTATCTGGACCCTTTTCAGTCAGGTTTCAGGCCTGGATACAGAACCAAAACTGTTTTGGTTGCACTTGTAGATAATCTCTGGCAGGAGTAGGATGGAAGTGGTGCATCCATTCTTGGTCTTCTTGACCTCTCAGCAGATGTTGATACCATTGACCATGGTCTCCTTTTGGGCCTACTTAGGGAGATAGGGATGGGTGGCACAGTTTGGTACAGATTCACCTCTTTTCCACAAGAAAGGTTCTAATTGGTATTAATAAGGAGTGAGAGGTCCTGCTCACAGCCCCTGCTGTGTGTGGTGGTGCCACAGGGCTCAGTGTTCTTTCCTCTCCTTTTTAACATCTAAATGTCACTATGGATGAGGTATCACCAGAATGCTTATGATACACAGTTATATATTATATTTCCATCCCGATTGAAGTGAGTGATGCAGTAGATGTTCTTTCTTGGTGCCTGGAGGCTGTGTGACATGGATAGGGAAGAACAAACTTCAACTGAACCTTGGTAAAATGGAGTGGCTGTGGGTAGACCTCTCTGTATACAAGAGTTTATCACCTTTGACCTTGGATGGGAATGCACTACCCCAGACAGACCAAGTGCATTGGGGATCCTCTTGGACTCATGGCTCCTACTCAAAGAACAAGTGGCAGCCATAGCTATGTGAAATGTTACTGTTTGTATAATTATTATACAAATGTAATAATATAGAAGGATATAAAAATAAACAATTGCTTTGAGATTTGATCCATATTCGTTTTTTCAATAAACCATCTCAGCATACTTATTTTGTCCTGGTAGCTCACTTTTGTATTAAATTCAGGTTCAATACTCATTCATTCTTCACCCTCTCTTTTTGTTTTCTAATTTGCATTTCTTAAATATCTCATTCTGTGTTCGACTTATTTCATGTTGACATATCTAACCCAAACGTTATATAAGTAGACAAAAACATATTTTATACACAGCAATTTTTATACTTTAAACATCTATTCTTCACATCAAACCAACTTGTACTCACTATCTTCCTACCAATGCTTATGTTTTAAATTTCCTCAATCATTTCCCCATTTTTAATAAACCTTTACATTATTAAGTAAATAGTTAAGTACATTAATTCACCTAGCAATTGTAACTTGCAATTGTTTATTCTATTTTCTATGTCAGGCAAAACAACCTTTATCTTTGATACCTCAATTTTCAGATTCATATTTCTCATTACATCACCAATTAATATTTTTAAACATTTGTATTGTTTTATTACCAAAAATAAAATACAAAAAAAGGAAAGGAAAAACAAAGAAAAAATAGTCTAGCAAATAAATATTCAACACTAACAACAAGAAAATCCATCAATCTAACATTCTTTGCAAATCATGAGAACTATTTAGGTTGTCATCTAACAATATGGAAATCATGAATACTAGTTCCTACATATTGATATCTGTAACACACCTCTAATGTCACTACAAACATTCCTTACACCTTTATATGTACAGTAACTACATTAAATATCACATAAACATGTCTTGGTCCCTACTCAGTTTTGACTCATTTGCTAAGCATTGCACTGATTCTCACTCATGCTTTAGTTCAATTATATATCACTGGTATCATATATACATACACAATATTCCACAATTCAACCCTAACTCACTATCTTGTATACAGATATCCCTCTATGTATGACCATAACTGAGCCCAAAATTTCTTTTGCCCTATTTTATGACTCTTCTTGCCACCGTTGTTAAGTGAATCACTGCAGTTGATACGTTAGTAACCCAGTTGATAAGTGAATCTGGCTTTCCCATTGACTTTGCTTGTCAGAAGGTGGCAAAAGGTAATCATATGATCCTGGGACACCGCAATGGTCATATATATGAACCAGTTGCCAAGCATCTGAATTTTTTCCATATGCTCATGGGAATGCTGTAGAGGTTGTAACTGTGAAAAATTCACATTTTTCAATGCCATTGTAAATTTGAACAGTCACTAAATGAAGTGTTGTAAGTCGAAGACTACCTGTATTCTATAAATCAATAGATACATAGTAAATTTTCTTTCTCACATTCATATGTATCTTAACAGCCTGTTGAGGATCAAAAATCTGGTCATCAGATTAGTTAAAACTCTATTACACTCCTCAAATTTTGGTCCTTATAACCTCTTGTATCCTTTCAATCAGAATTCTGCCAAACACTGTTCCAGACAAATAAGAATATATTGTTTCAAGAATAAATGAATTCTTAGTAAACATTGATTGAACAAAAAATGAAAGACCATTGTAAAAAGAAGTATGTTCAGGTTTTTTTTATTTTATAGTGAGAATGAATGAGGACTAAATTGCAAAACAAATATATGAAGAATGAATGGTTCAAGAGGAAGAGGAAGGCCAAGAAAGTTGCTGGAAGAAGCTGATGAGGTTCTCATAATGTGTAAAGAAAATAATGCAGTATATGCATATAGAGGAAGCAGATATAATTTACAAGAATAGAAAGGTATGAAGAAGTATAATAGTGTTGCTATAAATTAGATTTAATTAGATTTCTTTTCTCTCACCTCCTGCCTTTGATTCTTTGTTACTTCTTGCTCTTTATTTTTATGACACTACTTATGCCAAAAAGCTATAGCACAATTTCCATGAACTTCATACCTTTCAGTCTTCATATAATTAGGTGATTATTCATAATGGCTGTAGCATAAATTATTGGTAATCACTCCCAAATTTAAGCAAATCAGCCATCTGCCGTAATCTCTGAGATTCACTTTTTAGAACAATGCAGAACTGGTGGCCTACAGATTTACTAGGATTTTGCAATGTCTCTTCATATGTTTTAGTATAAGCAGTCTTTATTCCTGCATATTGTAACTTAGATTAGTTATACCTTTAGACGCAGGAGAGAGTGCTGCTCTTTTGATGGCATATGTCTTCAAGCACCTCTCAAATGTATCATCCCAAAGTGCCACAACACCATCCTTCCCACCTGTCACAAAGCCCTGTAGAGAAACAGATTTATAGATCTGCTTAATACATCGACAATATAAAGTTAGGTGATAAAAATTAATGTCACCAAATTGCAAAATGAAATACATTCACTCATATGCTTCTACAAATCTTGTCTCCCCTAGCTTGCTGATGTTTTCCTCTTATCTATGAATGATGCTCTTTTGGCTATGGTACTCAATCTGAACATCAAATATTGAAAGAATGGTTGCAAAAATAAACCCTAAATACACTGTATCTAGTGGCTACATTGAGATTACTATTTTCACGTTCAAAGGAGCATTTATTTAGTTCCAAATGCAAAAACTAAGTATCCCATCTATTCTCAAATTGTTTACTGGAAACAGGAATGAGAAATTTACAGTACTTATCTAGTTCAAATACTATTCTGGGGAATTTAAGCCAACATTTACCCAAACGATGTATGCATACTTAAGCTTGGTGCCACTTCGGTTTTGTAGGTAAAAAGGTGCTTTAGAGCATATAGAATACCTCTTTGCAATTCCTTAAACCAAATATTTTGTTTCCTAAGCTAACACCACAGTGACTGGAAATAGCTGCACAATCCCATGAAAAGATGCAGCTGCTTTACAGAATTGCATGACAAGATAATTTTTACCTTATCTAAAGCATGCATAGCAAATACAGGTCCATCATGAGCTTTTACTGTCTTAACCAACAAAACATCTTTCCAGATGTAAATATCTCCAGTTGCAGATCCAGAGAAAACGAGATCTTCTATCCGTCCATAGGAAATACTCATCATGGTTTCCTGCTTCCCAATATTTCCAAACATGCCACGTTTTGAGGTAAAACCACCACCTGAATAGTAATGATAGACCAATAAGAATTATTATAAATGACTGCATACATTTCAATTATCTATTACAAAAAACCAATAGGGCTGGGAAAAAAAGTACGTTGGGGGTGGAGACGAAGTAAGAAAATCCTAGTTTTTCTTGAATTGTGTATCTTGAAACAAACAATGTTACAAGTTGGTAGGCAGAATAGGAAGGAAACAGCCAAGTATAATTATACTATCCATTACATATTGGGTAACTTTTTGCTAGGGGGGAGACATTATTATTTTTTACAATGTTTTTTATTTCTGAGCTGCAAAGGGTATGACAATAATATGACCACATCTTCAAAATGAAGAATGATTTATGGTTTGAGGTAACTGGGTTTTTCCAAAGACAAAACAAATTAATTCAGAATAAATCTTGTTACAATGCTCTTATTTTTTGGAGGAAAAAAAAATCTAATAGTTGTACCACAGACTGCCAAAATCTGATATCATGATTCCAAGGCATTTTAGAATCCATCTAAAATGGGACAGGTAGATGTCTAGAGTCCTTTCACCTAGTGCTAACTGCAGAGCCTAACTTTATTTTGTTTGTTTGTTTGTATCCTGATTTTATGATTTTTACATGTAACTCAAGGCGATGAATATATTCAACACAATTTTCTCCTTTTGTTTTCCCCACAACAACCTTGTGAGGTAGGTTGGGCTGACAGAGATTTACGTCCGAAGTCACCTAGTTGTCCTTTATAGCTTAAATAACCAGGCTTGAACTCATGGTCTCTTTCAAGCCTGGTGCCTTGACCACTAGATGAAATTATCTAACTATCTGTCTATTAATTTAAATTATATCATCATCATCATCATCATTATCATCATCAAATGTATTTGCCGCCCATTTCATTTCAAAGCAATTCTGGATGGATTTCCTAATCCTAATCCTAACCCTAATCCTAATCTAACTTTTTTATTGGATTGCCAGCATCCAGTACTACAATAGGAATAGAACCAAGGGCTACTAAAACTTTTCTTCATATCCACTAATTTTTCCCTTTCTCCCTTTTTTTTTCTTTTTTCTTTGCTCCTGGGAGATTTAAGTCCTCACCATAACTCAAGACATCAACAAGACATTTCGCTCTATATCAAGTATGTACGTCCTCAAGCAAGAATGGTAACAAACAGAATAGACATAGGAAAATTTTGCTGTGTCTGTAATGAGAAACTAAATTATCTGAATCAACTTTTATCAATGAAGACATAAGATAAATTTTACTACCTGTTTGTTGCCAAAATTTTATGTGCTTTATTCCAACAGTCGCCAGTTTATCAGCATGATGAGGGTTGCACTTTACTACGAAGAGCTTATCTTTGTGACCCCTTTAAAAAATAAAGAATAAATGAATAGATTTTTGTACTATTATGACAGTAACATCCTATTTTTTAAAAGAGGATGTGGCACTTTAACAGTAGTGAGCATGTCTTACAGCACTATTGCTGGACAAAATAGAGGAGACATTTAGCATGCATTTTCACCAGTATATTATGAATGATTTTGATAAAGAAGGATTTTAAAACTCCAAATTAAAAGCTATTTTGACAATTGTGGGGGTTAAAAAGTTCAGATGGTTCTAGCACTATTAGAACTTTTTACAAACAATAGTATTAATAGAGATTTCCTTTAATATGATCAATATAGGTGGTCCTTGAGTTACGACCACAATTGACCCCAAAATTTATGTTGCTAAGTGAAAGATTTGTTAAGTGAGTTTGCCCCATTTTATGACTTTTCTTGCCACCATTGTTAAGTGAATCATTACATTTGTTAATGCAGTTACTGTGAATCTGAATTCCCCATTGACTTTGCTTATCCGAAGGTCGCAAAAGTGGATCACATGACCCCAGGACCCTGCAACCGTCATAAATATGAACCAGTTGCTAAGCATCTGAATTTTGATCCTGTGACCATGGAGATGCTGACCATGGAGGTCCTAAGTGTGAAAAACAGTCATAAGTCACTTTTTTCAGTGCTGCTGTAACTTTGAACTGTTGTAAGTTGAGGCTACCTGTAAGTGACATAGTCCTCATTCTTGTTGAATCCAGTTTAAGATAAGATTCTCATACGAACAAATCAGTTTTATTTTAACTGTAGCTCCTCACTTCCAAAATAGTTGGCTTAGTAAATAGTAGATCTTTGAAGGTATCATTCCTTAGTTAAATCTATCCAGTATTCATGCTCTCATATCCAATTAATGTTAACAAAATCTTAATCTGCATGTTGAACAGGAATTAGGAAACTAATTAGGGACTGTTTCATTAAAATTATTTTGAATAATTTATTGCTTATTTGGGAGGAGATCCAATTACATAACTCACTACATAAACTGGATTAAATATTTATAAGAATGTACTGAATATATCTTTGATTATATTACCATGGACTGATTTTATCATACATAGTATTGTAGAGTTTATATTTATATGACATCTGATTTTGTAATTTGATTAAAAATTGTTAATATACTCATTGGATGCAATTATTAGCCAACTATTTTGGTGGTGAGAAGCTATAACAGCTAGAGCATGGAATGTCTCCGGCTGATATACTAAATGCACCCAAGAGAAATATAGATTCCCAAATAAGTAAAAATGTAGGGAATCTAATTTTATATAGCATACCAACTTCAGAAATCCACTAATAAATAACTTGTAAGGGATAGATATACAGCTCTATTTGAATAAGGTCAAGACATATTATCAGAAATGGGACATAGGTAACGTCTAACGTGATAATAAAGTTTGCAGATGATACCACCATACTGGGTCTTATTATAGGAGGAGACGAATTAGCATACAGGGAAGAAGTTCAGAAGTTATCCACATGTGCCTCAGCAGAGTAAGGAAAATCCTCAGGGGTGATTCACACCCTGGTCAGTACTTCTTTACTCTCCTATCTACCATTGGGCTGTAGATATAGAAGCATAGCCCGCTAAACAAATAGGTTGAAAAATGGCTTTTATCCGTGGGCTGTCAGACTTCTGAACGCAACATAACATCACAATTAGGTTTAAAATGATAGACTTGCAGGGCCAGCGCAACGTGCAACATGTTCATACCAGTGTAATATAATATGTTACATAAATATAGGTATATGGGAATATGTGTTAGTTATTACTTATTCGGGTTTAGGGATTCTATTTCTTTCATTTATTGAGTTATTGAGATGTATTTTGTGTTTGGGGGGTGGCTGCACCAAGGGAAGCTCATTTCAATTTCATTGTACACATATTGTGCATTGACAATAAACGTTTGATTTGATTCTTTAAGAGAGATAAATTTGTATCACTTTTAATCCATCATCCATCAAGAAGCCATTAAAAATTAAGCAATCTGAGATGAAAGATAGCCTCCTACACTATATATTAGAATAGAATAATAAAAAGAACAGCAACTGCCACAGACTCACATAAAAAATAAACATGCTACTTCCTGAAAAGAGAACACATCCATTAGAAAACCAATGAAATGCATGACCCAGTTTTTCCCAAACGCTTTGTTCATGCATGCAATTACTAGGTAAACGATTAAGCTTCCACAAGTGAATGAAATCAAAGAATGCCAAGGAAACGCTTATTTAAGATTAGTATGAAAAAAGATAAGTCTGGGGCACAACAGTGATTTAACAGAAAGAAAAAAATGATTTGTAGATCCATTTATATCAGAAAAACTGCACGGCAAATATTTTCAGAGAATAGTCTTCCCTTTTAAGATATCACTGAATTCAACAAAAGAACAAATGTAGCATAGTTTGATTTAAATTATTTTGACTCAAGAAACAGCAAAATAATTTTGGAATGCCACAATAATTGGGATACCATGTTGCAGAGAAAAGGGAACGGTTTTGAAGGACGAGAGGAAGAACTGCTACCAAGGCAACGTTCAAAAATGAAAGTGGTATTAGCCGGGGCCAGGAATGTTGTCCTTGTTCAGTGATCACAATTCAGATAAGCAATTCTATCACTAAGCAAAGTAATTGCTAAGTGGGAAATCATATGAGTGCAACAATACTTTCCTGTTCCCTACCCCCCCCATCCTTTGGAATGTTCACCTTAGAACTGAGATAATTAGCAAGAAAGCAATTAATTATTTTATTTACTGGAGGGGGGAATTACAAGAAAGAAATGTTCCCTTTGTTCGTATCTATTTCATGTATTAATAATCATGTTTATACTTATATACATTATCAAATGCATGCTTGACAAAATAAATTAATAAAAAATAAATAAATAAAATCAGCTATACAATGAAGAATACACACTGAAAGTAAGCATGACCATACTACACTAGCAACGTAAGGGGGAGGGGAACAATTTCTGTAGGCAATTTCTCCTGTGCTAAATCTATTTTCCTTCCTCACAGAATGGAGAGAGAGGAGAGGGGGGCATTACAAGAATGTATGCAGGCACATAATGAGGAGTACAGAGGGCTGTTTGTGTAGCATGCTTGCGGCTACTGGCATCAGTGCTTTGCTTTTGATGTGTATTCTCCCTCATGTGCCTGTTTACTTTCTTGTAATCTCTTCCTCTCCAATCTTTCTGCTCCACAGGGGAGAAACAAAAAAAACAATAGGTCAAGCACAGGACAATGCATATTGACTGTAATAGAAATGACATAATGGAGGATTACCTGCAACTTGTAAGTAAATGCCTTTTACACAAAGATAAAGGGAGGGAGGGGGAAGCAAATTTAGACTTGCAAGATTCTGTTATTATAGCTTTATAATAAAAGTAATGCTGACCTATATAGAATTGCTTTTCTAGTCTGGTCTACTTTGAAAATTGACATTATAAATGCAGTTTTAAAAAAGCCAGGAAAATTACAGGAAAATTAGAGTAAGAACAGTTTGAAGAATGAAATAACCAGATGCTATACAGATGGGAACACTATATTATTTTGCAATAATACATTGCAAAAATAGTTCTGTTCTCATCCTCAAAATATATGGACAGAAATTAAGTGTATGATGCTGTTTCCTGTCATTTCATGTTCAGCTTATATATTTGACAGTATGTCTAGGGCCATATATAGATGATACCTGATACAGCACATGAATGGATGTCTTATACAAGAATGTGGGATATCTGATCTATCATTATCTGTTTCTATATTGGTCAACAGTACAATTTTTTTAAAAAACCTCCTGGAATAGTATCAAAGAATACTTGTATTATACAAAATATGTAAAACTATGGATGCAACATAATAGTATTCTTACCTGGTCACTGCCATCTTTTCTCCTTTTTTCCAATCCCACAGTACAATGGTATGATTGTCATCTAATCCAATTGAAGCTAAACATTTCCCATCAGCTGTACAAAACCAATTCATAGTTCATCATAAGATATCTTGAAATGAAATGTGGCAAATATAATATTCATTGCAAATTTCCATGTTATGGTGCCAGGAATAAGGAAGTTGGATGTTCTACAGGAATTAAACTTTCACAATGACTTAATTTGTACTTATTTCTTCCTCCTTCCCTTAACTATAATTATGCTAGAAAAGGATTTAGCAGTTGCCTATGACAGAGATCCCCAAATTTTTTTATCGTTCGAGAGCCAGTTTGAAAACAATATGACTGCCATTGGCAGTTAAGCCCATTCATTTGATGGAGGTATAACCAGTTTACACAGACACGCACACAAAGTTTAGGTGAGAAATCAAGTCAAGGAATGGTGCCCACAGATATGAAGTTAGGAACCCCACAGTAGTGAGCTTGATATGTTGGAAAGTGATGGTCTTGTTATGTTTTGTGACAGAAGCTTAAACCAATTCAATAGAACTGAAAATACTAGCTATTGCCTGTTTGATGCTTCTATGTATGCTTCCTTTAAGTGAAAATCAGGAAAAACCCCTATAGTTTTGAATAAAAAATGTGACTTCTGGACAGGTCACAACAAGCCTTGCTGCACAGTTACTAGGTAGAATTTGTCTAGGAAGATAGAATAACTTTATGCACCTGAAGAAAAAGACTAGATTCTGTTTGCTATTTCAGAAAAAAAGTTTTACTTTGAATATTTTAGAATGCTATCCTGGAAGAGGAGAAGGATATGATCTTTTACAGACAAACATTATTTGAGTTACCATATAACTAAACAACATCATTTCCCATTCTAAAGCAGCATTCATTACATAGCAGCTCACCTGAAAAATCAAGTGCACATATTCCCCTTTGGTGCTGACCTCTTAGCAGTGACAAACATTTGAGCATCTGTATATCCCAAATGTGAATAGCTGCATCTCTTCCAACCTAAATAAGAGCAATTATTTCAGTTGCCGTTAAATAAAAACCCAATGCAATAAGTACTTTCAGTCAAAAGAGCCTTTGTTCATAAACAGAGGTCCTAAATCAATCTGAAAAATGGCAATTCAGATCTTTTGATGATGTGTGTGTGGGGGGCTCTAAGAATGAAAGTTGGAAATTTGCTGCATAATTTCTCAATCTGAATGTCATCTAAAAAAACATTGGAAAAGTGTTTGGCATCACCAACGCTACTGAAGGCAGTATCCAAAATTTGCTGCCCATCTTTCTATAACCAAACAAAATTGTCTAGCCAGCAATGGATTTTAAGTTTCTCTGAATTGTATTACTGTATTTTATTTCAAAAATTTCCTGTTTTTTCACTGACTGAAACTACAAAAATTATATTATCCCTATTATATGGTTCAATTGTCGCACTACCACAAAAATCCCCAAAACATTTTTGAGTTCATTTGACTCAGAACATATACTAAATAATTTGAACATTTTTTAAACATATGTCATAGCTATGTTTCCTCTGACAAAATGAAGTTAGTCCTAGGATATAAAACAATAAGAAACTCCTAGCGCTATAGCCTAGATTAAGAAAAAAATGCCAAACCACATCCTGTCGGGCTTCAAAGAGTCAACGGTTTATCTCCTGAAGTGAATCCCGACACATTATCTTGATTGGGGAATGAAAGTCCAATCCTGCCATTTACAATAGATCAACTTGATCGGAAAACGTTTCTTACTTTTGAAGATCCCATCCCGGTTTGACTTATCTCGTATCAGCACGAACATGCGACAAGGATGGGGTGGGAGAAGGTTTATCACTCCAACTCCTCTCATTACCCGAAACAAAACACAAACAACCATTGGGGAAGTTACGGCACAACCTGGGGATTGAAACCCCATTCTGTTTGGTAATTAGTTGCATTTAGAATTGCGGGGTGGAGGCGGGTAGGACTAATGGGGAAGTTGGATGTTAGTTAGCTGCATAGGGTGGGGCTGCATGATAAATTGCACTGAGAGACGAATGATCTCAGCGCTGACTTTATCCGGTATATCCATTGTTGCCGTGTTTGAAGGAAAATGAGAGAAAATAAATGTACCCATTCACAACGAATCCTGTGAGTAATATAGTTTATTGCTAGAATTCCTACGTGTACAAACGAAGGCTTACACATCTGCATTCTTGTTAAAAAAATATACATATGCATAAAATCACTTGCAACTGAATGTGATTGAAAAGGGACTTTATATATTGACTTCTAAAAAATTTATGAAACCTGTTTTGAACATATTTAGCTTCTTCATATATTACTTCAACAACCTCTTGGTATTTAAATATGAATATACATGACAATAAAAGCTATAAAATCCATAATCTATCTGGATATGTAGAGATTCAAACTGGAAAATTTAATTTAGGCATTCTTTAGATTCTAGATATATTCACTCCAGAGAATAGGGAGGAGGGCAAAATTAGTAGCCACAAATTATCAACTACACACTACAACTAGAAAATAACACAATTGAATTTGTGAATACACTTTTGTATTTCTGCATTCTGTATTTTTGGCATTAATTATTCTTCAATCTTTGATTACAACCCATCCCAAGGTTAAGTGAATTGCTTGTAAATCATTTTTAATCTAACTAATTGAACAGTCCACAAAATTTGGATTCTTGCAAATATGTGCCAAACGTTCCATTTCCTGGATTGTTTTTCACCTACTCACCCTCTGCTTTTTGGCAATTGAGATGCTAGGCTTCTTTTTTTATCTAATTGCTATTAATGTTATATTTTAACACTCCTTTTAGAGGAAGAGACCATCCTATAATATTTTACTGTAAAACCCATTCATAAAGTACTGATATATTATTCTTAAATAAGTGGATTTATTTTTTTTAATTTGGAAAAAAGTCACAAGAATTAATATTGTGAGAAAATCTGTAATTTTTAACATTGATTTGCCAGTGATCATGTTTCTTACATACTCACCTGTCCAGTAGCAACATAATCTTTCATAGGATGGATGGCAAGGCTGAGAATGTCATCATCATGACCAAGATATAGTCTTTGGGTATGCTGCTGCCTATTATACACCACAGCAACAGCAGCAATATGATAAACCACTTCTCCAGTCTGTGTGTAGAATAAATTGTTTCGACAATCATATCCTCTATAACTGAAAACAATAGAAAAAATTAATAGGTTAATAAGTTAACAAGACTCCTGTAGGTCGAGGAAGCAAAGGATCATATACCATGATCCTAGTGTTACCATTTATACTAAATCTACCATAATCCTAGTGTTATTTATACTGAATCATACTTATTTATCAAGAAATTAGATGGCCAATTCACTCACAGTGATTCCAAGCAGCTTGCAGAAGTAAAACCTCAAATACAAAACTCAATAAAACCCCATCCCCATAGTGACAACAATTAAACAAGCCACTTGATACACTCTGTATCACCCTGGGGTTCCCAGGCCCGCTGGCAAAACCATGTCTTCAGCCCCTTTCAAAAGAGTATCAATTTTATCTTTGTGGGGATGATGCTGCATATATTAGGATATAAACTATTATATATTATGATATAATCTCTAAGATAGCAGAATAACATACTTAGTGCTTGGATATTTATATTGGCTTAAATATAAACTGATTTATTGCAATTTATATTTAAATCAATAATTCAATAAAGTTAATATGATCTGCAATATTTGTATTATCAGTTAAATATTTCTTTATGTCTAAATACTATTATTTAATATTTTCTAAGAATTATTCATAGTTCCACCATAACTTCAATATTCCACATGTGTAGGGTTAATAATAACGCTAAATATTGACAATATTTAATCAATCCCAAGTGTATCTCAAAATCCCACAGTTCCTAGTCCTTAATTATTTTAAATTCATAATATACTTCAACACACTATTAATATTAATAATACAGTTTAATTACCTAATCCTAAATTCCTATCTACTGTCTTGACTTATTTGAATTATATTATTAAATTATATTTTCTATTAGTATATATACTATTTTCCCTGTATATAGTTTCCCATTTTATTGAAATGTTTTCTCATTATCCATCATCTCTTGACCTTTTTGAAATTTCACCATTTATTGCTTTTTAATCAACCTTTTATCTCTCTCTCTTGGAATCTTATATCTCTTTTTGGTTTTTTTGTACCTACTAATCTTCCCCTTCTGACAACCTTTTATCTCTTTCTTCTGTTGTATTTGAACTCCCATCAACAAAACTTCTTTTTGATTTTTCTTAAGATTTTTTTCCTTTTCCCTCTATTCTGTTGTAAACTTTTATGAGGTTATGTTTTCTACTTATTAATCCTTTCTCCTCCTTATTTTTAACTTCTTGCATCTCTTTTTGCTTTTCCCTTTCCTCTGCCTTTTCTAACTTCTCACCTATTTCTTGAGTATCATGTTCTCCCCCCCCCCAATTGTTGGATAGCTTCTACATTCATTTCTGTATCTTCAAACAATCCCCTTGTCTCCTTATTGCCTTTCCAAAATTCACACATATCTTTTAACATAATCAGTATTTCTCCATATAGCTCTGTTGTCTCTTTGAAGTCCATTTTGTAAAACCTTTATCTTCCAAATCCATAATTAGTATCATCCTTATGCATATGGGAAATGAGCAGACTTGGAAGGATTGTAATATTTAAAGACTATAAAGGTAAAGATATATAATAATTTCATTAAAATGAGGAAACAAATCTTAATGGGATGGGGAGAGAGCCTCAAATACAGCTTCTTTTTTTTTTTTTTTAAAGGAACATTCTAAGGAACTATAAAATACTGGGTGGCTATTGCTGGAGAGTGAACAAAAAGAGGATTGGGAGAAAATATGTAGCTGGATAATACGACAGCAGATGAACACTGTGTTAACAGATTAACTCTGTGTTAACACTGTGTTGCAGTCATACTTACTCTTATTTCAAAATCAACAGAAGATTTGGTGTTATACTATAAGGAGGAGGAGAAGGAAGGAAGCCAGGGAATATGAACAGAAAAATGAGTGTTCATTGGTTTATAATAATCAACAAGGTTTTATACAAGGCATAGTCTATACATCTTTCTCTCAGCCCTGCATTCCACGCAGGCAAAAAAAATTAGAGAAGCAATTTTATCTCAGAGAATTAGGAAGTCATATTCACAATGAAGATTTACATGTATCAGCATGCAGAAAATTTGCCTGATTTACAGGACTCTCTAGGTCAAATCCTGGGACTCTTCCTCTCTCCTTTTTCAGTTAATCAATTTTTGGCTGCTCTGTTTTCAGCTCTGAAGCTCTCTGTCATCTTTGATCACTAAATAGCTTTCTCCAATGTAAGAATCAGAGTGTCTCACTTTACCCATTTCAATTCTTAGCTCCAGGCACAGCCTTTAAATCTAAAGGTTATTTTTGTTTAACAATGAATTATTTTTTTCTGTGAGTAAACTATTGAAAGAGCTACTGTTGAAAATGTGTTATACCCATGTATAAATTGCAGCTTTAAACTGTCGTCAGGGGCTCTCTCTCTCTTAAGGCAGGGCACTGTATGGCTTTTCTCTTTACGTTGTTGTTTCAGTTGAGGTAGATCTTCTTTGTAAACCTGCAAAAAACAGAGAAGAAAAATTGTAATTATAAACTTTTAATCAAGTAATTCCAATTGCTTCTTATTGTTTGCTGGTATTAGCATGAAGTATTTGGTAATTTGAAAGATCTGTGTCATTGTCCTGTATCATATCTTCTTCTACTTTAATGACTGAAAAGTATTAGATTATAATTTTCATAATTGTATTTTCTGTATTGTATTGTAGTCTAATATTTCTAGGGTAGAATTTCCCCAAATTGGGGAAGACTGCTATACTACATAACAAAATCAGCTTATTTGAAAAAAAAATTCTATAATTTTATAATTGGAAATTGGAACTGGCAAGCAATAACATATGTCTGTAGATAATGAGCCTGTTCCTGTAGAATTCTGGAGAAGGGGAACTGGATCAAGAAATACTGAGTACAACAAAAGGTTGTTAGGGAAAGGACAGCTTTTGGGGAAAGGCATCATTTGTATATCAATGCTCTAAGATCCAAAGATTTCCATTAATATTTCCAAAATCAATTTCTGAAAGCAATAGAATAGAATAGAATAGAATAGAATAGAATAGAATAGAATAGAATAGAATAGAATAGAATTCTTTATTGGCCAAATGTGATTCGACACACAAGGAATTTGTCTTGGTGAAAATACTCTCAGTATACATAAAATATACATTTGTTAAGAATCAAGAATCATAACGTACAACACTTAATGATAGTCATAGGGTACAATTGATACATTAATCTATTTCATGAAACTTGTAATCAAAATGTTTAACTAAACAGAAAAAAATAAAAAGTTGAAGCTCTTGTCATCTATTCAAGCACTTAGACATAAAAGAATATTTTCCCTAATTTTTTATTTTATGCAAAACATTAAAATACAACCTCCAAAAAAGAAAAAAAATGCAAAAACAAAACAAAGATTTACAAAACTACATACAAAAAGTGCATGAAAATAGAAAACAAAACAGACAGATACATAAATTGTCCCCCCCTAGTGAAATATTGATATATATGTTCTCTTCGCTGATGATGTAAAGCTATTCAACACCACAGACAATACTGCAACCATTCAAAAAGTCCTTGACTATGTGTCAGAATGGTCAAACAAATGGCAACTTCAAATCTCAACAAATAAATGCTCTGTCTTACATATTGGCAAAAAAATCAGAAAATAAAATATACGCTGAATAGTCAAGACCTTGATGATGATCCAAACTCTGTCAAGGACCTTGGAGTACTCATTTCTAATGATCTAAGGGCTAGAGCCCACTGTAACTACATAGTCAAAAAGGCATTAAGAGTTGTTGACCTAATCCTATGTAGCTTTTTCTCTGGTAATATCACACTACTAACTAGAGCATACAAAACATTTGCTAGACCAATACTCGAATACACCTCATCAGTCTGGAACCTGCATTACGTATCTGATATTAATACAGTTGAGAAAGTCCAGAAATATTTCACAAGAAGAGTTCTCTACTCCTCTACTCATTGCAGAATACCTTATGCCACCAGACTTGAAATTCTAGACTTAGAAAACCTAGAACTATGCCGCCTTCGGTCCGATCTAAGTATAGTATGTAGAATTATACATTGTAATGTCCTACCTGTCAATGAATACTTCAGTTTCAACCATAACAATACAAGAGCACACAATAGATACAAACTCAAGGTAAACCGCACCAAACTTTCTTGCAGGAAATACGACTTTAGCAACAGAGTGGTCAATGTCTGGAATACTCTACCTGTATTTCTTCCCTCTGTAATTTCTTCCCCAAACTCCCAAAAACTTTAACCTTAGACTGTCTACTATTGACCTCACCCTTTTCCAAAGAGGTCTGTAGGGGTCGTGCATAAGTGCACCAACATGCCTACCGTCCCTGTCCTTTCTTTTTATTTTTCTTATATGTATCCATTTCCTGTATTCATTACTATGTTTATACTTATACCCGTTATCTTACAGTCGCTTGACAAAATCAATCAATCAATCAATAAATAAATAATAAAATAAACTTCTGCCCTCTTGTGAAGCAGGCACACAATTTATGAATTTCTACTACACTGTTTACCCAACCCACTTAGCCTGACATTTGTCTACTGTATGGAACAGTAGTTAGTTAACACATACAAAAATTGTTATTTATTTAGCTAAACTGCAGAAATTTTTATGGAGGTTCTTTGAATTTTCAAAAAACATTCTGGGGAGGAAAGAAGTCGGAATAAGAATATGGAAGGAAAATATTTCTTCTAAAAGAGAAAATAATTTTATACTTTTTGCTCTAAATCATGATATCCACAGCCCATCTCAGCAGGTAACATATATTGTGTATGGTGGTAGCAAGGAACTGAATTGGCTCATTCTAAAATCAATCAATAGGGATAAACAGTATATATTTTCTTATATCCTTTTGCATAAAATATGTAGCAGGGGATGTTCAAACAATATATTTCTAGTTTCACCAAATATACTGGAAAAAAGTGTTTAGGATAATTGTAAATCATTGGATCATAATTAACATTAGGACCACATCTGCTTCCTTCTAGGAACTTTCTGCAAATAATTGAGTCTTTCATTGATAGTGAACCACGATTCCTATTTGATTATTTGGTATTAATGATACAAGCTTATCTTTTATTTATATTAAAAAGATGGCCTAACAACTAATTAACACAAATACATTGCAACAGTCATAGCAATGATTTAATTATTTAATTAAACAGACTGTATTTATTTAACATATTTCTCTGCCCATTGGCAATGTGCGCTGCAGGGAGCAGTATAAATCTGCCCAGTAACCACAAGACTAAGCAGTGTCCAAGTGTGTGCATATGTGTAAGAACTATGGAAACAAGTTGGAGGATGTAACATAATCAAAGCTCTGTATTTTATGCATGGATGATGCATACACTTAAAAAGGACAAGGCCTCAATTGCAATATTGTAAATATTATCTTGGCTGTTTTATCTTCTTTACAGATCAGAGGTGGTAATCAGCAGGTTCTGACCAGTTCTGGAAAACTGGTAGCGGAAATTTTGAATAGTTCGGAGAACTGGCAAATACCACCTCTGACTGGAGATTTTACAGTATCCTTCCCTTGCCAAGCCCACCAAGCCACATCCACAGAACTAGTAGTAAAAAAATTTGAATCCCACCACTGCTACAGATGCCACTGAACCAACAAGTGTATTTTTTCCCCAAAATATTTATTTTCAGTATGATGCAATGGCATTTCAACTGTTCCTGATCTAATGATCTGATATTGCAATGTTACTCACCTGTCGAACATAATTGATTTGAGCTTCTTGCTCAATATCTGAATCTAATTCTGGCACATCCGATAAATCAGAATCTGATTCTTCACTGTATGAATCTATGCCACATTCTGCAGAAGGGATGGAATAATATTAATCAGTTAGTGATTCTTTAAAAATAAGCCCCAGTGCCAGGAAAGATATTTAAAATCTCAGTTCTGACATGTTAAAACATTGGCAAAAGACCTTGAACATTTCTGACTTGACAGTAAAATATATAGAACTACCTAAGCCAGAAAAGAAAGCAAAGCTCAACATTAAATAAGCATATTCTCTTTTCAGTGATCTTTTTCATAATTTTTCAAGTTGAGAGTAGAGATTAAAATAAAAGGCAATGTATGTGTTAGATTTCAGTACAGGTAGTCCTCAACTTACAACAGTTCATTTAGGGACCGTTCAAAGTTACAACACTGAAAAAGTGACTTATTACCGTTTATCATAATTATGACCATTGCAGCACCTCCATGGTCATGTGATCAAAATTCAGACAGTTGGCAGCTAATTCATATTTATGACAGTTGCTGTGCCCCTGCATCAGGCGATCACCTTGTGTGACCTTCTGACTAGCAAAGTCTGTCAAGCAAGCCAGCTTAACAATCATGCTACTAATTTAACAACTGCAGCGACTCATATAACAATTGTGATAAGAAAGGTTATAAAGTGGAGAAAAACCCACTTAGCAACTGTCTCGTTTAGGAACATAAATTGTGGACTTAATTATGATCATAAGTCGAGGACTAGCTGTATTCCGGAGGATTAATGATTAAAAATGACCATTTAACTCATTAGAACCTTTTTTGTTCAATTGTATTTCAACCTTCTGAAAATCTTACCTATACGGGCTGCTTCCAGGATTCCAGTTGTTGCACCTTCTGGAATAAATCGCCATTGAAAAACAGAATGATCTGCACCTCCTGTACTGATTACCCATTGGAAGTCATGTGACCAGCGGACATTTGTAACATGAGCAGAATGGCCAACATATTTTCTGAATTTTGCACCTAAAATTAAAAAAAATAAAGATAAATGAAACCAAATCTGACTAAAAAGTAACCACAAAGAAGCAAGGCATATACACAACACATACACAGATATGCATGGAAGTTATTGCACATTTTATAAAATCACTTTTTACTATACTCTGCATGAAATTTCAAAACATGATGCAAATGATCCATATATAATAAATGTTCATTATTTCCCAATGGTTAGTAGTTTCAATAAAACACATATTTGGTCACCTATGTTACTTAATCCTTCTTCATGTGTTGAACAACCTATTTAAGTCAATACAATTCAAAAACACTTTGTGGATCATTATTACTATTCCATAGGCAGTTCTTGCTTAGCAACCACAACTGGGACTGGCAACTCTATCTCTAAGCTCCATGGTTGCTAAATGGAAAAATCACATGTCCACAGTCTATAAGTTCTCAATTAAAATATGCAAATGATGATCATATCAACATGGAAGGGTGTGACAGTTGTAACTGCAAGCTTTCTTTACAAAGCTGTTCTACATTGTCATAATTTCAAATGTTTGCTACATAAGGCAGTCAGTAAGCAAGGATACTTGTAGTATTAATTCAAAGCTCTTATTTCAGCCTTGCATTTCTGGTATATTAGATCAAGGACTTGTATGGTTTTTCTAGGATGCTATATATCGTCTTAGTATTTATATGAAAATTATATTTTCATATAATTTTCCATATCCTGTTATTATAAAATAATTGATTCCCAAGGAGATGTAATTTATAAAATTTGAAACAAGCCTTCATAATCACAAATTAAAACTTTACTAAAATTATACAGAAATGAGTAGCAAAATATCCTGCCAGATAAAGTCCCTGAATGTAGAGAGTTTGGTTAGTGGTTAAGGCACCAGACTAGAAAGCAGGAAGCCATGAGTTCAAGTCCTACCTTAGCCATACAAGCCAGCTAATTGGCTTTGGGCCAGTCACTCTCTCTCGGCCCAAATCACTTCACAGGGTTGTTATTGTGGGGAAAATAGAAGGAGGAAAATTTGGTGGATATGTTCGCCACCTTGAGTTATTTGTAAAAATAATAAAAGCGGGATATAAATAAATAAATAATAATAAAAAGAAGTGTCTGGTGCCCTTAGCACTTTTTTCTACTGAAGTAGAATGTACCAGTTAAACTCTGATGAATTTGCCTTCCTGAATTATTATGTTACCTTAGGTGAAAGGGTTAGGGTTAGGGTTCCAACTAGACACGAAGTTAACACAGAATATTGCTGCTCAACATTCTGGAACTTTTAAGGAACGCTATTTTTTTTAAATTTGCATTGAACAATTTGTAGCTGTTTTTCTTTCCCTTTCCCTTTTTATTTCAATTCCATCCTGCAGACTGGTAAGAATAAACTGAATAATGGACTCTGTCAGATAAACTAATTACATAACTGGGAATACAGGAATATCCGAAAAATGAGTAGGCAATCATCATTTGCTTGACTACACTTTGTTAGGAAAAAAGGTCCACAAAAAAATTAGAAGCATGGTTCAAAATCATAATGCAATTACTGAAAATGGCCTATTCCTCAGCTGCAACCTACCCGACTTCTAAAGGAATGCCTTCTGAACAGAGGTGGTATTCAGCAGGTTCTGACCAGTTCTAGAGAACCAGTAGCAGAAATTTTGAGTAGTTCGGAGAACCAATAAATCCCACCCCTGACTGGATCCTTCCCCTGCCATGCCCACCAAGCCACGCCCACATAACCGGTAGTAAAAAAAATTGAATCCCACCACTGCTTCTGATGTTACCTATAGCAAACATTCAGGTGGAAACTATTTTTTACAGCAACAGACCCACTAAAGCATGTGGCTGAACTAACCCAATGCTTAAAAAGGCAGAATTATGTTTTTCCCCAAAGCCTCTCAATATTATCCTTTTCATATAATTATATAACCAGTAAAAACCAGTCAACATTTTTATCATTCAAATAATGGGTCATTAAAAAGGTCTGTCCAAATTATTTATTTTGACTTTTAATACTTATTACACTTGCTTTCTTTATTATTGAATATTCAATTTCATATATAGCATTAATGTAAAGTTGCCTCAATTTTGTTGCTTAGTTTTATATAACTTGCCATTTTTTCTAGTTCACCTTTTTTTTTCTGGAATATGCTTCTAAATATTTACTAACATTTTTAAATGAAAAAGAAAAATAGGTCCACTTGTCTGGTAATTTTCTGCCTGCACTTGTAATATTAGAGATTGAGCATTTTTGTTATCTTTATTATTTTCATAAATAATTTAAATAATTTAAAAAAATACATCTCAGCCACTGAAAAAACATCAAATAATCCATAATACAAATAAAGCAAGACATTATATATGCACAGCACAATGTTTTACCTTTTTTAAGACATGGAAATCTGAACAATTTAACTAATCCAAAATCATCTCCAGTCACTAAAACTGTATTATTATAATTCCCATCTACAGAGTTAATATCCGTAACATCACTGTACTTTGGCCAGATTCCATTTACTTCTGATCCTATTACACAGGTCCATGAAGCCCAACAAATTCCTTTGATGTCATCTTTGTTTGCTAAATGTTTTCCAGCTGAAATAAATTTAAATTAATAAGTTATTTAATTATATTGTTTGGGGAGCAGCTGAACACAAATTTAATGCTTTTCCAACTTCTTACCAGAAATTATTTTTTCTCTTGGGCCTTTTGCCATTGCTGAATTGGAGTGCTATCCACTCATCTTTAAGTGCACAACAAATTCACATAAATTTGTTGAACTTATTGCTGATCCCTTTCCCAAGTGATTGTTTCAAACTACTACAAATAAAGATGACACCTGACTTCTCTCCCAGATAATTGGTGACAAGGTTAACAAATTTTATATACTTTAACACCTGTACAGTTGGACAATTAAAAAATAAAAGGTAGAGACAGAGTACAAGAGCACACAACAAACTCAATGTAAATCACTCCAAACTTGGTTGCAGAAAGTACGACTTCAGCAACAGAGTGGTCAATGCTTGGAATGCACTACCTGACTCTGTTGTTACATCCTTTAACCTCCACTCCTTTAACTTCAAACTATCCACTATTGACCTCACCCCATTCCTAAGAGGTCTGTAAGGGGCGTGCATAAGTGCACAATCGTGCCTACCATCCCTGTCCTATTGTCCCCATTTATTCGTACCTATTTCCTGTATTCTTACTCATGTTTATACTTATACCTATTATCTTGTAAGCCAAGGATCTTCAAACTTGGCAAGTTTAAGACTTGTGAACTTCAACTCCCAGAATTCCTGAGCTAACATGACTGGAGGAGGAATTCTGGGAGTTGAAGTCCACAAGTCTTAAACTTGCCAAGTTTGAAGGCCCCTATTGTAAGCGATTGACAAATCAAATCAAATGAAAAAATAAATAAGTGTTGAGAAAAATGAGCTGAATCATTATCTGAACAGAACAGAATAGAATAACAGAGTTGGAAGGGATCTTGGAGGTCCAACCCCCTGCTCAAGCAGGAAGCCCCGTACTATTTCACAGAAATGGTTATCCAATCTCTTCTTTTTTAAAAAAATCTGTATCAAGAAGTCCGCAGGGAAGCAGATAAGTTTAACTACAGTGAATTGGGTCAAAGTCTCTAAGGGAGAAAAACCTCTGTCATAGCAATAATGAGACAATGAGAACTTCTAGATAATCACTTATTACTATTGTGAGAAAAAAGAAACCGTTCTATCAAAAATCTCCCTTGGATGTATAAATATAACCCAGAATGGGGATTAAGTTACAATTTTGTTTTGTAGATGAGATTTGATTAAAAAAGATCTGTGAGTCTGGAAAAGGATTTTGATCTCTAACTTCATTAGGTATTTATACGTTTCATCATCTTTCACTTGCAGACGAATTCTCTCATCTTTCCTTCTTATAGTATTTGTAACAAATCATTTGACTAAAAATTCAGTAAAATTATTTTTTTACAATAAATTAATTTTAATTCATTTCTCTATGTTGTTTTGCTGTCCAACATTTATTTTTACAGATCTTTTAAGTTTTGCCTCATAAATCCTTATTTCCATGTCCAATAATATGCAATCCATGGGGGAAAGTTTAAATATGACAGTTCTTCTCTTGATTGAAAATGATACACTTCACTATTTCTTTTTCTTTCTCCACCTCCCCCAAGGTTTGTATATATTTTTAGTGTTAAATATCTCTATTTCTAATGCTGATTTTTTTCTAACTTTAAATGTGTGTTTACAAACACATGCACACACACACACACACACACACACACACACATACTCACACTGTACAATGCAAGTCACCCATAGTTCCAGAGATGGGAAGCTATATAAATTTGATTAATAAATAAATACATTTTATTTGTAGTAGTTGAAGTGGTTCATCTCCTTCCTTAACAGTCAGTCCCAGTCCATGTTGACAAGAGAGAGGAGACTGCGTCTACTTATGTGGGGTACCTCAATGTTTAATGCTTTCACCCCCATTTTTAACATCTACATAAAACTGCTGGGTGAAGTTAGTTCAGGGTTCAGTATTATTAATAATCAATTGTGCATTTCAATCTTGGGCTGCATAAGTGAAGCTGGAGGCCTGGATAGGAAGAAACACTTCAGTTAGGATCCCAACAAGATTAAGTTGTATGTCTTTTTGAGGCCTCTGGGTTAAGGATGTTTTCATCTTTGGATTGGGATGGGGTTGCGTCTCCCCATTTAAGATTAGTGTGCAACATGGAGGTCCTACTGGACTGGACTCACAGTTATTGTTTGAAGAGCAGATGATAGCTGTGGTCAGGAGGGTCTTTATGCAGGTCCACCTTGTGTGTCAGTTGTGTCCTTTTCTCAACTACGAGATTCTTCAGATAATTACTTATCTCCTAGACACTTCACAATTGAACTATGATAATACATTCTACATGGGGCTGCTCTTGAATACCATCTGGCTACAGTTGGTTTAAAAAGCAAGGGTACAGGTAGGAACAGTTACTCCTTACCATGCTCATGAGTCATTGCTGCTGCACAAACTGTGTTAGTTATCATTGGCTTCCGGCTGAAATTCAAGATGCTGATCCAAGCCTATAAAGTCCTTAATGGCATAGAGCCTAGTTATTTGAGGGATTGTCTGCTTCCCATTATTCCTGCTCATTGGGCCAAGTTAGTGCACTCTGTGTCCCTTTCTACAAAAATTGTTATCTTGTGCCTTCTCTGTCATGGCCTTTTTTTCTCTAACACAACAATCCAACCAAAGATACATGTATAATTCCATTATATCAAATGTAATTCAGATGAGGCAGTTACATTTATGTTAATTTTATCATAATTTTGTGATATGCTGATTTCTCTTACTGGTGTAATGAAACATTAAGGAAAATTACAGAAATTGCCATTTGCCTAATGATATCATTGTACAAATGATAAATGGTGCTTTAAAATGAGGTTTCATTGTACTGTATTATTACATTGCATAGAAAAATAGCAATAGCATTTAGACTTATATACTGCTTTATAGCCCTCTCTAAGCAGTTTACAGAGTCAGCATATTGCCCCCAGCAATTTGGGTCCTCATTTTATCCACCTCAGAAGGATGGAAGGCTGAGTCAACCTTGAGCCTGGTGGGATTTGAACTGTCAAATTGTAGGCAGCTGGCTGCAGTAGAAGTAGCTTGCAATACTGCACTCTAACCACTATGCCACAGAGGCTCCAAATTAGAAAAATGTAATTCTATTACTTGATATTATTCTAAATTCTAATAAATTCTAATATTAGCTAGTCCAGTTTTCATAATCAAATCTATTTTCCATTGTTATGCCAATCAGTTCCAATAAATTTCAAAAACGAGGAATTCAGTAATTATTTCTAACTTTAGTAATACTGCTATTATATTTCTTTAAATCAATATGCATGATGTAAAATTTAGCATAATTTTAAACATAACAATTTTAAAATTTAATTTTAAGCATAATAATGAACAATTTTAAAATTAAGAAAATTCATATACAGCAGTGAAACTGATGGTTTTTAGCTAATGTATTTTGGTTAATTTTTAAATTTTGTATTTACTTCATACGCACACTCACACTCACACTACTGTTCATCTAAGGAGGTTAAAGGGATATATATATTCCCTCATGCTCTGGTCTAAGTTCCTTTGTTAATTAGATGATAGATGATAATTAGATAGAAGATAGCTAGACAGATGAGCTAGAGATAGAGATGGAAATAGAGAAGAGAGAGGCAGGGTGGGGGGGAGAGAGGGTGAAATTATTGGGGAATAATGCTTATTTCAAATAATCACACAGTCCTAACTCTGGAGTATATTGATTAAACATTTTATGTATTGCTCATTAAAATTAAATGCATGTAATGAAGAAATGTTTACTTACATGGCATCCTGTAGAAGAAACGTGCTCCTGCACCATCATTTGTTTGCAAGAATTTACTGTCTAAAGACCAGTCAATATGAGTGATAAAACTAGAAGACTTGCTGCATTCTCCAGTTTTCTTATAACGCTGAGCAACTGCATAGATATCTACCTGACCATCATTAGAACCCACTGCAAGATAGCAGCCATCTGGTGAAAACTTCATTTCATGAATTACTTCTTTCCGATCTTTGATATGAACAACTTCTGTCATATCTCTGCAAAGAGTGTTGAAAATATTTTTAGCAGTGGGTGTGCAAATGAAAAATGATAAGATGGTGGTATGCAGTCTTATTATCTACACAGATTCTATGTTACACAAACATGCTCTTAAAGGGCAATCCAATACATATGTAATTAAGAGGTCCTATTAACCTCAACAGAATTTGTCCTTCAAAAGTAGTATATAGAATAATAGCTTTGTAGCAGAAAATTATCATGTAGTTTAGGTACTGCTAACAAATCAGATCTGGTTAGAAAACTACGCATGGTTTAATAAATTAAAGCATCTAAGATAGGGATGCAAAAAGATATATAGATTAGATCTATTATCACGGTAGTGTGATTTTGTTCTAATTTAAAATTGTTATAATGTAGAAAAATTGCATTGGCTTGCCATAAACTCTAAATCAGTGTTTTCCAAACTTTTTCAGTCCACTGCCCCCTTGGTGCTACAAACTCATCCTCAGTACCCCCACCCACGAATGGGATTCAAATTTCTTAACAACCGGTTCTGTGGGTGTGGCCTAATTTGTGGGTGTGACTTGGTGGTCATGTGACTGGGTGGGCATGGCTTGCTGGCCGGGCATGGCTTGCTGGTCATGTGACTGGGTGGACATGGTTTGGTAGTCATGTGACTGGGTGGGTGTAGCCAGGTGGCCATGTGACTGGCAAACCAAATACATGTGGTCCTCGCTTAATGACTAGTTGATTAGCAAGTATTCTAATTTATGACTGACCTCCTCAGCTACTTGACCTATTTTTGGAGTTTTGACAGCCATGCACACACACACACACACTCCCTTCTAACCCTGCTGGAGCAGGTGGTTGGACTAGATATCTCATTCACTTTCTCCTCCCTCCCTCCCTCCCTCTCTTTCTTTCTTTCTTTCTCTTTCTTTCTGTCCCTTCCTTCCATCCCCCCCTCTTTGTCTATCGCTTTTCTTCCTTTCTCTTCCTTTCTCTCTTCCTTTTTCTTTCTTTCCCTTTTCTTTCTTTAATTTCTTGTCTCTTCCTCTCTCTCTTCCTCTCTTTCTCTTTCTTTCTCTTTCCCTCTCTCTCTTTCTCTCTCTCTCTATCCCTTCCCTTCCTCCTTCACTCTCTTCTCCTAAACTAGAAAACCCACCTGAAACTCTCTCTCTCTCTCTCTCTCTCAACAAGGTAGTCACCAGGCAGCGTTGCACGTGACGAGCCTCCCAGAGTCCCAGGGACCAGGCATGAACGTCCGTTCATGCCTGGTGCCACATTGCCCGGAAAAGCCAGCAGGCAAGACTTCTGGGTCCAACAAAGGGGCCGCAGGTGGGACTTCCACCCCTCCTTCTTTTGGGGAAAGGGCTGGGAACTTCAAGCAAGGCTGCAGCCTCGCCCACTGCAGGAGCTGCGGGAGAAGTGAGCTGCAGGAAAGGTGAACCAGCCCACCCTGACTGGCACACCTTTCCCTCTGCTACCAGCCACAGGAGGAAGGTAAGTTTGTAGGCAGTCAGGAAAGCCCAAACCACAACGGTTTGGGCTTTCCCGACTGCCTACAAACTTACCTTCCTCCCACGGCTGGTGACAGAGGGAAAGGCGAGCCAGTTAGGGCAGACTCGTCTCTACTCGGCTCCCCGCCAGCCTGCACCTCGTCAGCTGCTGGGGCTCGTGGGTCACGGTTGCTGAAGGGGAGTGTGGGAGGCAACCAGGAAGCATGAGCCTTACGTCGCCTGCATCGGCCCTCTGCCAGCCGCCCCTCTGAGTGTTTTAGCTGAGTGCAGGCTGCTGCTATGTAAGCTCCATGGGTGGAAGATCTGCTCTCGCAAGGCTTGACTCGCATCATTCTCACAGCGGCGGCCCGCATTCAGCCAAAGTGCGCAGGCTGACGGGCGGTAGAGGGAAGGGGCAATGCGGGAGGCATAGCATCATGCTCTCTGGGCACCCCCCCCACTCCTGCCCCTATCAGGCAAGGCCCAGCAGCTGCGGAGAATCCAGGCGGGACCCAAGCAGCAACGGGCCAGCCCTGGCTCACATTCCTCTCAGCCACCAGCAAGCCAGGCAAGTGGGGTGGGGGGGAAGCTGAATTGCACCCTGCAGGGGCCCACCTCCAGCACTCCTCTGCCACCCCCTTGCCTCTTAGTGTTCCCCTGCTGCCCCCTTGCCTCTTATCACCCCAAGTCACCCCACCATCCAGGGGGTGGTACCGTCCACTTTGGGAACCACTGCTTTAAGTGATGAATACTGGTGTACAGATCGCAATTACTAGATTCATATATTGTGCTTGACCCATGTAAATTTTTCAGAAAAGCTATCCTCAAGCTTTCAAAATACATTTTATCAGACTATTTTGTTTTATTCAGGCCAACAACATATAAAACAATTCTCAAAAATTGCATTAATACATTTCAGATTTGGTCTGAATTATTCTTTTAAAGGCAGGAGTCAAGCCTACCTTACTCTCAGAACAATAAAAGAGCCATCTTTCATTCCCAGAGCCAGCTGAGATCCATCAGGGCTGAAAGATACACTCCGCACAGCTTCTTCCATATTGCATCGGGCAATCAAAGCATGATCAGCAAGACTCCATAAGCTTCACAAGAAAGGAAAGATGAAAGAAGTCTGTTAATCACTACAATGTGGTGTTTATGTATTGCTTTTTTGGCTAGAGAGACATTACTCCAAACTTTATGTGCATCTCTCCCATTCTATTTTCTGCTTATCTGGTTCACAGAACAAATTATAGTAAAAAGGGATTGGATAGTTTGTAGTTCAACATGTGAATGAAATGAGAAATCATCTCATCATCATGTGATTCTATTCTCCATTATTTTTTATTAATAACTGGAATGAAGAGGTACAATGTTTATCAGATTTGAAAATGGCACTAAACTGTACAGGTATCTTAAATATTAATCACATTAATATTAATTACATAATTACTGTATTTATTTGTTGATTTATACCCCACCTTTGTTCAGGATCTCAAGGCAACATATAGAATGCTATCTCCAATTTTCCGCACAACAGCAATTGTGTGAGGTAGGTTTGGAGAGACAGAGAGATAAAATAATTTTCACAGCTATCACATATTTTAACACTACTTGGGTTTTCTTTTAGCTAAGTATTAAAAGTACTTGCACTTTAAGTACCTATTCTTTGGCTAATAAATTGGAGTATCAATGCTGGAATAGATAATATATGACTAAAACAAAATATTGCTTAATTTTTCTTCTTCCAATTAATTGATCACCAGCATTATGATCTTCAAAGCCATGAGGATTTCCCAACACAACTGTGATGAAACATTAGGGATACATGCTGTTGCCTTACCGCACAGATCGATCATCACTGCCAGTAACAACTAATGGCTTTTTGGGATGGACTGCCAGAGCCCAGAGTTCGCCTTCACAGTGACCTTGCATTATAAGCATTGGCTTGTCTCTTTCTCTTACAATAATTTCAAATATTTCACTGTCCTGTGTTCCTGCTAGAAGCCGGTCTGCTTTCCAACACACGCTTCTGATAGATAAACCTGAGAAAGGACAGAATTTGTATATTTATAAATTTGTATATTAATGAATAAATTATTTGTAGCAGGTACAATCCAGCTTAGGTTAAGCATTGTGAAGCGCTATTACTTTTCAGTAGAAGATTTAAACATGTCTATAATTTGTCTTATCTGCAAAAGGAAATAAAATGCTTCGCTTTAGGAGAATCACGTCTTCAGTAAGTTCCTATCCAATAATTGGTAAGCACTTCACAAGTAGTTTAAAAATCACAAAAAGAAATTTTAAGCAAAAATAATAAGGCCAGAGTGGATGAACTCAGAGCAAATGGGTAGGGATTGGAAAGAACAGTGGGTCCATCCCTAGGAGCAGACAGTCATGGAACAGCAGAGACTCAGCAGAGAGAAACGCAGAGACTCAGCAGAGAGAAACAACCAGCAGATGTGAATTCTAGAAAGGCATTTTGATCATTATACTTCATGCTACAGTTTTTCAGGGATATCAGGGCAGCCAGGCATGCAGCAATATCTGCAGAGGACTGTCAAAATCTGCAAGAAAGTAGACATAACATTATGGTCCAAGTACCTTGCAGTGGATTTTGCATCTTGCAAAATTTTGGCATTCACACTGGATACTGTTGTTCTACTCTTTGCTTTTTGAAGCATGATTTCCAATTTCAAGTCCTCTTGAACTATTTGTTCAAAGCAATCATCACTCCTGACATGCTAACTCAAGTCCATTCTTGCTTGTCTATATAAGTGCGTGTACTGTATTATCTTACACTTTTAAAGTCAGTAAATATGGAGATTTTGATAATAACTTTTAAAATGTAATAAATGAATTCATTGACTGTTGAAAAGTTACACATTTTCTAATACCAACAATTAGGTACCCAGAAAATTACTATAACTCAGAGTAGACCTGTATCATTTACTCTGACTAACAACCAATTTCCAGGTTCAAGGTTTTTCCATTAGTTGCTGCTTGATCTTTTAAATCTGACATGTTTTATATCCAAAGCATGGATATTGCCATGCAAACTGAATAAGATTCTTTCCCCAAAGTCCAACATAATCCAACACGTTTGTTTTTTAACACCAGAGATCTACAAAATAGAGAAAGGAGACTGAAGAACTGTTAGATGCTACCCAGATGGACATAATGGTTAGACTATATCAGCGGTCGCCAACTGGTGGGCTGCAGCCCACTGGTGGGCCGTGAGAAAATTTTGGTGGGCCACAGAGAAATCTCACCCCCAGAGCACCCCACAAAGCAATTAATCCAGGTTGTGCAGAAACTCAAGGCTGTGCCGCCCACATGGCCCACGGGAACCCTCCCCGCCCACTCACTCCTTACCCGGTAAACTTGCCTGCTAAATTGCTATTTTTCCCTTTTCTGACCATCATCTGTTCTGCTCTGCCGGGAGATTTAGATTAGCTAGGAAGCAGGAAATGATTGCATTTCTTGCTTTCTAGCTAGTCTTTAGGACTAGCTACCTACCTCCCTTAGGACTGAAGGTTTGCTTGCAAGCAAATTCAGGGCAGACTCATGGCAAGCAAATTTGAGAGACTAAGCTAGCTGATGGCAGATAGATAGATCACTGAATGATTCTGTGAGCAACTCAATCTGCCTGCTTTGCCTGATTTTGGGTAAAAGTTGCTCTTTTTTAAATAAAAAATTCAATATTTACATGCATGGTGGGTTGTGAGTTAATTTTGTAAGTTTGCTTGCAAGCAAATTTTATGTAACAGACTGAGCTATGACAATGGCAGATAGATCTCTGAATGAATCTGTGATTCTGTGAGCAACTCAATCTGCCTGCTTTGCCTGATTTTGGGTAAAAGTTGGTCTTTTTTAATAAAAAAAATTCAATATTTATATAAATATTTATAATATTTACATACAAGCCATGCCCAGCCAGTCACATGACCACCAAGCCACACTCACAAATTAGGCCACACTCACAGAACTGGTTCGTGGTCCCTGGGATCTAAAATTATGAGTTTGGTGGTCCCTGAGGTCCAAAAGGTTGGCAACCCCTGGTCTATATACTATGTTTGATTTTGTGGATAACAAATTGGACAAACTGGCATAGACGATACCTAATGCTAATTTTCTGATTCAATATGATTTGCCTATCAGTATGCTTTAATACGCTAGTATTGTAAAACCTTTTCACAATATTTTTTCAATCTCCAGTTTCTATAGCAACAAATATACATAGGCAATGTTCGTTTTCCTGAAGAACTATAACTGATTGTCTCTATGTAATAGTGAAGCAGATGCACATTTCTGTATCTTGGTTACAGTATTAACTATGTTAACAGTGCATATGGACAAGTACTACACAACTATTAAATCTTATCACTGGAGGTTTGCAATCTGTTTCATCATATCATGCTCCCTCCTAAAATACAATAAACAGATGTTATGTAGACATATAAAACAGGCAAAACCCTCTCAATTTTAATATATTTTAATACAACTATGAATTTTTGTATTCCATAGAGAATTACTTAGCAGTAGGAGTTAATTTTAATTTTAAGTTGAAATTCTAATAAAGCTTTCTAAGAAAAAGACAGAGGAAACGTAAGAAAAAAACAACTTGGAGCAATCCAAAAGCGTAGTTATCAATAGTCTGATTCTCATACTTGCAAATTAGATTCTTCCAGAGTGGTCACAAGTGTAACAGGAGTCAGGAATTTAGGCCTAAAGACAATGTTTCTGTTCCATGGATTGAGAACTAAGTGCATGTGCATGCATGGATACATATGTGTCCAAGGGTATACATGAAAACACACACATACCTTGTACCACGTAAGAATACATGGACATATGTAAAACAGAGTATACAATACCCATCCAAATTATGTCATAAAACCAACAGATTATGATCTAGGAGATATCTGCTAATGCAGCATATGAAAAATAATAATTCTAGAATGAAGATTTCTAAGACTCAAGAGTTGGTTCTAAAAATACAGAGTGGTTCTCAAATCAGGGACAATTCCACTATAAACTGAAAGGGGCAGTGGTAATCAAATGGGAGAGTATAGAAGACATGAAAAGGGACTTCTGGCAGTGATGCCTTGGTGAAAGGGTGAAGGGAGAGCAGTCTCTGTCTCTGGATCCCGTTTTTTCACTTTTGGGGACCTTTCGGGGCGTGAGGAGCCTGGAGAGCCAAGTGGAGAAGAGGGGAAGTCCGGAAGATGGTGAGGCGAAACACGATCGCCAGCTGGCAAGAAGGGAAACCCCTGAAATCCTGAAGTGAAAGTGTCTGTCATTTTATTATGGCAGACCCGAGGCCATGGCTGAACCGTGAATGAGGAGGAAGTGAGAAGATTATTAACAGAAAGTGTCATTGAAGTTAAAATCCCAAAGTTGCAACTGTGATAATTTGCCAAAAATAAGTTTGAACTTGTTTCTGAGGAAAAAAGAGCTCCGGTGAGGGGGGATAACCCCATAGTACAGGCGGCGAGACAGTAAGAAAGAGCTGTGATTCAGCACTTTTTACAAAAGGAAAGAGACTAAAGGAGAGAGGGTATTAAGTTGGAAGTGAACAGTTCTAGGAAGCTGAAAGGTGGAGATTGAAATAAGATGAGAACTGGGGGGAGAAGAAGAAAATCTAGGGAAGCCAGAGGAGGAGGTGGAGAAAAGGTGATAAGGGAGAGACGATTGACTTCTCTCTGCTTCTTGGATAGGGGGCAATTACGAGACCAACATGGCAAGTGGAGAAGGAGAAAGTGAAATCCGATTGGGGCGTGAGAGCAATATGAAAGAAAGAAAAGAAACTCTTGGAAGGAAGGAGGAGGTGAAGTAGAAGTGGAGAGACATTGAAAGGATCAGAAGGAAAGTCGGGATGATGGCAAGACACGGAGAAAGGAGTGACTGAGCAATTTTCAAGCGGAAGGAGACGGCAGGACATTAATGGGAGTGGAGAAGAAGAAAATTTGGCGGGGAATGGGCTGAAAGAGACGATGAAGGAGGATTGGAAAGAAATGGAGTATGTATGAGTGGAGTCATAAAGAGAGAGACTTGGAGGGAGTAGTAGAAAGACAAAGCGGAAGAGAAGAGAGTGGAAAACAGTTTGGACTGAGACAGTGAGATCGGAGAGAAAAGAAAAGAAAATCTTTGAGTGAGGTGTATGAACTGTAAATTTTAAAGATAACAAAATAGGCTGGTATTGAAATATAAGTTTGATTTATATGATTAACATGATCTGTATGACTTGTATGATTTGAATGTATTTGTCTGTTACAGCACTGTCTTAAGGAGATTGTGGATATAAGAAATCTCCTTCTTTAATTTGAAATAACTTGATGGTATAGTTATCTTGACTAAATAGGATTATTGGGTTAAGGAACATAGTGATAAATAATCTTAGAGTAGGATATTAAGAGTTTAACAAGAATATATATTGTTATGAGTATAGAGAATCTAAACCTTGACCCCTCTTTTATTGTATAAAGGAGAAACTACAATATATTGTGCATAGAAAGAACTAGAAAACGGGTGTTTGAGTAAGATATATAGAGATACATGCAGATATAGATCTTTCAATTGACAAATACCTGACTACTGGATTACTGCTCTTTGTTTTTGTTTTTTGTTTTTGTTTTTCCTTCTCTATTGGGGTGATATTTGAGGTTATAATTACTTTGATTAAGTATTGTATATTGAACTAAGGAAATATAGTGATAAATAAGTTTTGATTACAATATTAAGAGATTAAGGGGAGTGTATATCTAGGTAATTATATATAAACGGAAATTAGATTCCCCCCTTTATTATAGATAAAAGGAAAAAAAGAATAAATTTAATACTTTGTGCATAAGGAAAGGTAGGAGGGCTTTCTCTGAGTATTGTTAGATATATAGTGATATTGACTTTGAGATAGAGAAAGGGATAACAAGTGGTGCTAATTCTATATAATTATAATAAAGAGATTTAAAAAGATGAAGGAATACATTGAAAGTAAGATATTAGTTTAAAATATATTGTAAAGGAGATAATAAAATAGGTAGAAATAAATAGAGCTTGAAAATAAGACAAGTGCCATGACATCAGCCTGGAGAACGGCAAAGAAGACAACATCTAGTCCAGCATTGACAATTACATCAACGGCCGGTCAAAAGACAATTGAGGGAATGCCAGGGGCAGAAAAATAAACTGTAGCCAATATGCAAACAATACAGGGTTCGTTAATAACCATTCAAGAAACCATGCTTAAAATGCAAGAACAACAGATAAAAATGCAAGAGAATATTTTGCAAAATCATATGGAATTGAAAGGCAATATTAATAAATTAGAAGACAAAGTTGATACTATAAAGCAAACAATGCAAAAGAATGAGCAGAAACTAGAAGAGGTGGAACTTAGAACAGTACAAAATGAAAAGAAACTGGAACTAATGGACAACAGGATGATGACAATAAACAAAAGATTAGAAGAACAGATTATCCACCTAGAGATGGACTGTGCTGCCTATTACTTGAGGTTTCAAAATATCATTGAAAGTAGAGATGAAGATCTGAATGTGCTCATGGCAGAATTACTTGCACCAGCTTTACAAAGGGAGACCTGAAAGATCCTGCTAGAAATCGACGAGGCCTACAGAGTTCAAATGAGTTATGCTCGACGTAACAGGTTACCCAGGGAAGTCCACATGCAATTTGCCAGGAAACAAGTACGTGACATAATATACAAGATAACGCAAGATGAACCATTGGTTTATAAAGATAAAGAAGTGCAAACCCTTAAGCAGGTTCCCAAGAAGGTGCGTGAACAGAGAAAAGACTATAAGTTTTTGGCAACACAACTTATCCAGAAGAACATAATGTTTCGATGGTTAATTCCAGAAGGCTTGTTGGTAACATGGCAGGAAAAGAGGATCAGAATAGATAACTTAGACAAGGCACAAGATTTCTATGAGCAGATTGGAGGAACAGAAGAAGAAAGCAGCAGTAGAGAGGAGCTAGAGACAGAAAGCCAAGAACAACAACAACAGCAAGATATAGGAGGCCTAGAACAAGAAGGAGAGAACAAGGAGGAGACAGAAGGAAGAAGATTAAGAACACACCCACAAAGAGAGACTAGAATTAACAGAAGACAGATAATATCCCACAAGTAGAAAGAAGGAAATGGAAATGAAGCTATTATCATTAAACATAAATGGTCTAAACTCACCCATTAAAAGGAAACAGATACTATCTAGATTAGCCAAACAGAAATTAGAAATAGTATGCCTGCAAGAAGTCCATATTAAAAAACAATTTAGAATATCCTAAATTAGGAAGGTTATTTGTAGCCCTGGCAAATCAAAAACAGAAAGGGATAGTGGTATATGTTAAAAAAGAAATTAAGGCAGTAGAAAAATATGTAGACCCACAAGGGAGAATTTTGATACTTGAACTAGAATTAGGGTACAAGCCAATGTTATTAGTTACAGTTTATGCGCCGAATGACAACCAAAGTCAATTCTATAAGGATTTACATGAGAGAATCGTTGAGATGGGACAAGATAATGTATGCATTATGGGAGATCTTAATGCGGTAGTAGATATAAGGAAGGATTATTTCAATAATGCAAAGAACAAAAAGAAAAGGAAAATTTTGCCCAGGTCCTTTTTCAATATGACACAGGAACTAAATTTGACAGATCAATGGAGGAGAATAAATTTGGGGAAAAAATAATTCACGTTCTACTCTAACCCACACAAATGGTGGTCTAGATTAGACATGGTGTGGATGAACGCAGAACTAGGAAACCAACTAGATTCGATAGAGATAATGACAAATGTATGGGCTGATCATAACCCAAAGCTCTTTTTTTATAAAAAATTCAATATTTACATACATGGTGTGTTATGAGTTAATTTTGTGAGTTTGCTTGCAAGCAAATTTTATGTGACAGACTGAGCTAGCCAATGGCAGATAGATAGATCACTGAATGAATCTGTGAGCAACTCAATCTGCCTGCTTGCTTTGCCTGATTTTGGGTAAAAGTTGGTCTTTTTTTAAATAAAAAATTCAATATTTACATGCATGGTGTAAATTTACATGCATCTGTGATTCTGTGAGCAACTCAATCTGCCTGCCTGCTTTGCCTAATTTTGGGTAGAAGTTGCTCTTTTTTAATAAAAAAATCAATATTTATATCAATATTTATAATATTTACATACAAGTCATGCCCAGCCAGTCACGTGACCACCAAGCCACACCCACAAATTAGACCACACCCAAAGAACTGGCTAGTGGTCCCTGGGATCTAAAATTATGAGTTTGGTCGTCCATGAGGTCCAAAAGGTTGGCGACCCCTGATCTAGCAGCAGAAAAGCAGAAAAACTGGGATTATGGATTATACAATTTATGTCTATGTATACACAATATATATATGTGTAGACAACTATACTTATAATCCAAAGAATATGTGGGGATGGAACAGATGAATTCAGAAGTTGAGTGGTGGAGATTGCCTCCTTCCCACTTAATTTCCTTTTTTGATACAAACAAACAAACACAAAGAGTTCTAGTACAATATATTTCACAAATATAATCCTGTTTAATTAGCCAGTTTGAATAAATGGTTTATAGGTTCTGTATCTCCTTGTTTCTTTAAATATCTGTTTTTAGCACTCTTTTTATACAGCTATAGCACCAATAAATGGCATTGTTTTAATAAATATCTCATAATAATATCCTTTTTAAATTAACTTCCACTATCTTTAAAACAGGAATCAATTTCAGATGCCCTTTGGGAAGATATCCTATTGTACAGACACACTAGGTGTTATTGACATTTATAAATAAATGATGAAAATCTAATCTGCTTAACTTTCTGAAGGAAAAAGAAGGTATTTCTATATAACATGTCCATTTTCTCTCACTCTCCTGACCATGTCAAGATACTGTATATATAACATGAAACAGTTGCAGCATTTATTTAGCAAATACATGTTGTGGCTAAATTTTAATCAAGATACTGAACATTAGATACTAATCAAATATTTGCCCCAATAAAACACATCAGAAAGCAAATGAGTGAATGTCAGAGAAGCAGATACATATGTTGGTCTTTGCTGCTATGGAGCAAACACAGTGGATGACCACATGTGATCTTTGGTACCTTCCTATCTCCCCAGGAAACTTGGCCTGTGGAGGTGTGCTTGCTTTGGGTTGTTCAGATCTATATGGAAAGTCCTAAGAGTTGTTTCTGAAATGGAGCTGGAGACTATTGGGCTATGCCTGGCCATGTGGGGTTGGAAGGTACTCTGTTCATTTTCTGGTCTCCACTTATGATTTGAGGGTGTTGATGGCCTTGTTCTTTTCTCTCTGAATGGAGATGTCTGATTGGAGTCCTGCTTGAGCTTGGGAAGATTGTATTTCCTTGGCCTTCTTCACCTTTTGACCTCCCCCATTTTGGAGAGTAAGTGGTCTGTGAGGCCTGGTGTTCCTTCTCTGCAGAGACCTGCCTTCCCTAGAGGTTATGGAATACTTGGGGAAGTGAGTCCAAGAAGGTGGCAGAGTTCCATGTGGGGTAGGGTGGATTATTGGGGCAATGGATTGAGTGTATGGACTGAGTGAACAGTTATATGATTGGTTAGGTTGTCCCATAGCCTGGGAGAAAGTAACAAAGGGTAAGATTGGATTGGACAACACAGAGAGAAACATTGAGATGG